GCCGGTAGCAAACCTTGCTTGCACTTGCTGTTAGTACACCCCATGAAGTCGAAACAAATGAGGCTCTCTAGTAGTACTATTAGTATTCAAATGTTTAAAATGCAACCCTGTGCACTCAATACTTCCAGTTTCAGTGAGATGCAAAAGCAAATTGGCAAACACTGTTCCGTGTCAGCCCGCAGTTTATTTCATTTTTCATGCGGTTTAATTAAAATATTCACTTAGCGTTCATTAATTAATTTAAAGCCTCCCCATTTTTCACATATTCCCTGTTTAATCGCTGACAGGAGTCAGTGACCATCGCTAGCAGTGGAGTCGGGTCATGGCAAAACTATTTCCTTTATGGAGTCGCAAAAGAGGTTTCTTTTACATTTAGCTTTGAGCTCAATAGGTACGAATTTCTTATGTTAAAATTATGTTTATGGAAATAAAGAATCAGTTACATTTCTATAATTCACTACCAAATGACGCATACAGTAAGATGGTAATTCGTTTTTAAGCGATAATCATTTGTTTTGTGAGATGGACGAAACTTTTGATAATGTTTAAATAGACGGTACTTTTACAAATATTGTGACATATGAGAATAGAATACACTGTCCTGTCCAATAAAAACATTTCCAATTATAATTTCTGAACCAAGTTTTAATTACATAGTTATTTTACAAATCATATTAAACATGTTACCTCAAATAAAAATGTGAATCAAATGTTAATATATTCATCAATGTTACTTGGCAAAATTTATGTTCCAACCGCAAGATATACATGATATTGAACCTACTCGATCCAAAATTAATGAGGGATGAAGTGATAAGACTCAAGAGACTTAAAACCACAATAACCAAACCGAAATCTAACAAAATACCTTTGATTATAACTCGTAATAGTTAATATTATTGTACTGCGATGGTACGATAATACTATTACAACAACAGAATTCGTTATATCAAGATGATTACGGTGGATGGGGTGAGTAATGCATACGACGTGACCGGAATATCTAGTGATGGACGAAGGCATTAAGACGACAGACAGACAACATTATGGTATCCTACATCCGTATCCGCAGCTTTTCAATGAAGATATTTTGTGTATTATCGTTTGAGAACAGATTATGCGGTAAAAAAAACATGAGTATGTAGTTTATTAATTTTATCTATTTAGGCAAAGACAAAACAGAGGTAACCTGTCTGAGAACCGGTTTTTTACCTTAGGAGTAGTGCAGTTAGTATATATGTAATATAGTAATCACTTTTTTTTGTTTATTTTTCTATTTTCGATCTTATTAGAGTAAAAACATTGACAACTCAATATTTCAATATTAGTTACATTGGAATTTTAACCAATGGCCGAATACTAGTTTAAGTTACAAGTTTTAAGTTACACTATACCTATGTTATAATGTGCTATGTCATAGATCAATATCGATGACATTGCACATTTTATACTGGTCGCCGATAAGTTTGTATAAAGTTCTTATCTGCAACATGACTCCGTGCTTTGCACATGGACAAAGTAAACCCATGCCTGCTATGGAGGAAAGAGATAAACTTTCTTATTTACTTCACCATGATATTACCAATTGCATTCAACCGACTCTAAACATCATTTAAATTTACAGCACTCGTTCAAACAAACATAACGGACTGAACACGCTGAAGTTATATTGAGTACATGAAGAATTCTCATGGCTGCCTTTCAGTTTTTTTTATATTCACAAATGAAGGTACCTACATCCTATTGTTGAATAAAGATTGGTGTAGCGATCAGGAAGAGGTTTCTTTATTAGCGTGTCCATAATTATTCTGTTTGGAATGACAACTTCCGTATTAGGAATATATATTACTGTGTCCCGGGTGACTTTACAAACATACATGAAACGGACTCAACGAACACCCAGACTCAGAATAACAATTTGTGTATCATACACACAAAGTGGTGTCCCATGTGGGGCTCGAACCCACACCACTCAGCGCAGTAGGAAGCGGCGTGGCGACCACTTAAACCACTACGCCATCGACCATAAACAGACAATGGAAAGGTTAAAAAATGTACAATAGATGAATTTTTGAGTGATGATGAGCCAAATCACATACTAAAAGCATTTGAATGGCGGTTTTTAGTTCGCTCCTAATTTTAAAGGACCATATTGGATAGTTTCTAGATAAGTAGAAAGGTTTTGCTGTACAAATGATAAGTAAGTACAAAGGTTTTTGTGTATAAATACAACATTTGGAGACAATATTTTATGCCGTTATACTATGTAACAAATACCTACCTTTTGTATCTGGATCTGTCCATGTGGTGACGCATTAAAAATACAAAGTGTCACAACCCCTATTCATCCCGTGGATGTCATAAGACCCGACTTAGGGTTAAAACAACGCAGGGCAACAGCTCTGCAAAGAGAAGGAAAACCTGAAACAAACCCTATACCAACCCGTCTTAGCCAGTGTGATATAGCAGGCCAAAACCTACTTTCTAAGGAGAGGCTTATGTCCAGCAGTGGACTATTACAAGCTCTTGATGATGTATCCAGATATAATTTTTTTTGTTTCTAGAATAAAAAATATTTGAATAGACAATTTTCGAGACCTTAATATTAAAGCTCAACATAAGCTAAGCCTAGTAATAATTCTCTTTTGTTAAAAACCTCTTGTGACTTAAATGTTATTATTAATATTTATTTTTATTTTAGAACCATTCAAATCACTATTCCATATTCACAGTTTCTGAATCCCTCATGAACAACAACTTTTTGAAGGAGAGTTCAAAGAGTCACTATGCAACTGACATTTTTATGCCTCACCCGATATTCTTTTTTATTGACATATAAAATGATTAAGGATGGAGGATAATGGCATTTATATGTTTTCATCATAGTTAAGAATGAGACCTTGAAATTACTAAAATGTGAAGAAGAATACTTTTTCAAACTCATTCTATCAAGATATATGAGCATGTTAAATATGTGAGCTGGTAAACATAATTATATAATATAGAACTAATCGTTTCAAAGTTAGTATGTTGTAGTTTATGTATATGTATGTATATTTAAATTCTAATAAACTCAGAAAGCACTGTATATGAGAATATAAAATATGTGATAATAGTTCTGATTCACTTGTGACTACAGTGAAGCATACACATACATAATAAACAAAATTAATCTTATCATATTTTATCATATCTTTTTATCATTATCATGGTTACTATAAAAAAAAACATATTAATGCTTTACTAACATTATTACATAAGCTATTATTCAACTTATAACAGGCATATAAATATTTATTGAAAAATCTTAGCCTGGGTTTTTTATTATGTCACAAGTGCATTATCGCCCTTGTGTCATAGATGATGCTAACAAGACATAGACAATCATAAGGCAGCTCATCGTCATCAACCTGTATGACATCAGGCCTCTAAGCAAATATCTCAGGCATTACTATGTTACTAATTTTAAGTCATTTTTTCTTAATTTTTAATGTTATTTACCCTAGATTTCTGATCAATCTCTAATTACATTTTATTTAGTATTAGTTTAACAAAAAGCTTAGGTATTATTTGTGATTTCAAAGTGACTTTGTTGAGAGTTATAATAATAATAATAATATGGCCCTTATATCCCAAAACTCCTTACCTCAATAGTACTTCCTTACTTTGTTTCTATCCCAGAGTTGGGTGTGCCTCTTGGCAAAGGCCACCATTAATAATTTCTACTGTATTCTATCATTTGCAACCTTTGTTGAGAATTAATTGGGGTTAAGGTTTATAAGGGATGATAACTTTTTGTTTAATCAAGACTTCAATTAAATTTCACTAATTTCATTTGTGAGGGTGCCACTATCATAAGCGAAATTAAACTGGATAGAAGGCCTTTATTATTAAGTTCTCTTGGTTAACCACGTACATAGTTTATTGTGACGAGGACACTTAGCCACCATTTTAAAATAATTGAATTGCAAACCCGTAAAGTACTTTTGCATCATCATCACCAGCCTATCGAAGTCCACTGCTGGACATAGGCCTCTCCCACGGCTTTAGTCTAACATTGCTGTAGGTTTACCTATAATATTTCAGGCCTTGCTCCCGATGCTAATAAGATCCTAACTTGACTACAATAGAACCAATTAGAAAGTGTTCAGTTTTTAATAAAGATTTAATTTTACAAATCAATATAGTCTAGTAGTCATGTAATATTTAAGCCAGTAACATATTATGATTGAACTAAAATTTATATAAATTTGAAAAATATAAGTTAAACAAATAGTTTGAACGTAAATCTTTGTACAATGAGTTTATCTATGTATATGAGCATATTTTTTTTTGTAAATAATGTGTCACTTCTAGTTAACTCTAAATTTGTTTTAATTATGTTGCTAATACATTAAAGTCAAACATAAGAGATAGCTGAATTTAAACACTTATATTTTTTTATAACTTTTATACTGTAATTTTTTAAGATCATATTCTAACTTAGAAGATTGGTGCACCTGCAATTGAGATGACGGCAGCGAGTGGTGTATACTTTTTCAGATGCCATATCCTCATAACTCAGAAAGAATAGTAATATATTTTTTCAAATTGATTTGCTGTACACACATGCAAGTATATGTATAAGAAAGCTATTTTAGATTCTAAATAATTCCTGAATAAATTATTCAAATAAACTCAAACTTAACCAAGACAACATCCCAAATGTTCTGCCATATGAATCAATATTTACAGCACTTACTTAAAATATATAATTTCATAATAGCAAAGTGATAAAAAGTCTGTTATTCTAACTAGAAACAAGTTTAAAAATATATGACAGCATCAACAAACTTTGTTTCAAGTACTTAGTAATTATTTATAGAAATAGTTATTACAATTAAAGTTTACTGGCACACAACACTATTGGTATTGTTGTAAACCACATTCTAAAGACCTAAGAACGTTATAACATTAAGCGGCACTACTATTATAAAGTTATTCAATATTTGTATACTTACACAACCATTCCATAAGCCCCTTCACCAATATATTGCAAATTAGTGTATCTGGGGCCCACTTCAAACACCTGGCCTCGAATGATTTCAGCATTAGGATTAGTGCTCGCGGCACTTGCAGCCTCGGCCATCGCGACGCACTGAGAAGCCACTTAACCACAAATGTTTAGAACACCAACAGCAACAATCTCGAGTTTAACATAAATTCCTGAAACACAGCTGACTCCAGGCTACCTATTTCTGAATTACCAATTCACACTAATTATCAAAACAAACTGCTAACCGACCTACATTATCTACTGCCCGAACAAATCGTCCACTTGTCACTCGCTTATCATTCTCGCTAGCCTGTTTGTCCGACCTCTCATGGACACTCCCGTACAGACACAGTACCGTTACAAAATGAACTCATTTTTTCTGCATCTGTACGGGCGTGTTCCATATTATGACATTTATACAAAATTCTCTCCAAGTAACGGTGTATTTCTTTTTTCTTCTTTTCGAATAGGTGGAATGGAGATAGAAGCAAACATTTATAGCAGTGTTTCAGAAAACGACAAATTTACATTTGTGGCATTAGAATTGATATTTTTTTAAGATTTATAAAAAAATATTGTTAAAAAACTAAACTAAGCATTGAAACTGAGTCAATAAAATTATTTAAAATAAAATAAGATGATATTCTCTACAAGTAAACTAACTAAAATTCATGGAAGAGTAGCATAGAAAAAGAGTAACGAGAATATCAAGAAAGTTGACAAGAACTTGACAACTTGAAGTTGAAGTTTTGATAATGACGTTTACGATTTTTAGTATTTCAATGTAGTTACTATTTTTTTAAATAAATAATAATTGATTTTTAATGACTTAATTACTACAACTACCAAGTTTTTGTGGTCTACAAAACTTAATAATGTTTTGTTTCTGTATGTGACTTCCACTTTACATGAAGTTGTAGATTTTATGGCTCAAAGTGACCTCGTCGTCTCAAATCGAAGGACTATCGTGCGAATTTTTAGGTATGTCGGTTTGGTCGGCCAGTACAGCTGCAAATAATTACCACTCGGGATTGCCAGGCGGACATTACGGTTTCTCTAATAACTGGTGTCCAAAATTGAGCAAGGTATGATCTGACTTTCTGGCTTCTATAGTATCGTACATTGTTTTGCGGCTTTTACATTGTATGATTGCTATGACATTTCGTAATTACAGTTTTCTAGTAGTTATAATATCAGTCTTGCAGATGTGCGTCGCCGTTCACACGCATGTAGTATTATTAAAATGTTTGTGATCTTTATTGTGTGACCTGTTCAACCACTATCTGTTATCTATCTACTTATTTATATTAATGATTGTTGAATGAGGTTTTTTTGTATATTGTTTTCTGATAACTCTAGATTGATGATTCTGTCTCATTGTAAAATAAATAATAGCATCATATCTGATGTGACAGAAAAAATATTTAAATAAAAGATTTTTTTAAACTAATAACCCATTATTATTAGAATATAGCAAATAGTATTGATTTATTCATTTTTCATTTTCAAAATTTTGCTATTACTAACTTGTATTTTGTCAATTTTATTTCATGTAATTTTAAAATATATATTTTTTTCCATCATTATGACAACTTCTTAAAGTATAACGTCTGTAATATACATTCAGTCATTATAAAATATTGTACTTATTTTTAACTATAGCATGTATGTATATTTCACATTTTTTATTTTGTTCTTCAAAGGAGTGGATGACAGGTATTGGCAGTTTTGTGGCACACTGAAGCAGAGGATTTTTCCACTAATTATTGTCTTACAACAGTGAGTTTAATTTAGATGTAATTTGGGAATGGGCTTCAATCATGGTACCCTTCATTGATTCTTCTGTAGCTGTTCTTATTCATCTATAACATCAGTTCTCAGTCATTTAGAACATTATAAAGAGTCTGTAAATGTCTAACCTGTCCTTTTTAAAATTCACAAATGTTAATTTGTAGATTCCCCGAATTTTCCCTGAATTAAAAAAAAAAAACAAATTATTTAATCTATGACAAGATCAAATTGTTAATCCTTAGTATTTTTGTTTGTTTTATGTTAACACATGTTACATTTTTATAGATCACAACTTTCACCAGTAATTTTTTGATTTTTTCTGTATGTCATATCTAGAACTTAAAATGAATGTGATGTTTGGATATGAATTTAGCTGCATTCGGTGCAGGTGCTTTTCCCCACCATCCTGTTTAGTATTTGAATCTTGTCTATTTTATCATTCTTAATACTTAAACTCGACTATTAATATTGGTAGCGGTGTTTTAGTCCGCTGCTTATAAACTATAAAAAGCTTATAGCTTTTTTTCATAATGACAGTTGTGTACATACACACTTTTTGTTGTATTGTTTCATGAATTGTATATATAAACAGATAACATTTTCTTCAATGGTCAGAATGGTCTATCTTTACTCTTTCGCTTGTCACATATGGTTAATGTGCTGTAGGTATTCTTTGATTGTTGGAATTGAGACAATAAAGTATGTTTCTAAGATTTGTTTAAATTGTATATATTTTTTTTTTTATGTTGTGTTGATGTCCTTAGCAAGATATTTATAGGTTGTGAAAATGTGTTTTGTGTTTTTCTGTTCAGAAATAATTAGTATTTCGTTTTTGTATAAAATATCTTAAATTTTCCTTGGGTGATGGTGCTTCCTATTGTTCTGTTTTTTTTTTTTATGTTAGGTAATGTGTCACTAAACTGCTAGTATTTATCATTTAGTAGAACTGCTTAGCCTTGATTAAAATACACAACTAGCATTGATTAATCCCAACAACATTAATTACTAATAAATGACTCCATTCAAATTAAACTTCCAGATGATATTTCAAAGCAATAATAATTACGAACTGTCAGAAATGGTTGTAAAATAAAATTTTAGAGACCTTTTCTTTTTTAAGACAACTCCCGTACTAATAATAAATCTACGGAGACTTTACAAACATACATGAAACAGACACAAAAGGACACCCAGACTCAGAACAACAATTTGTGGATCACACAAAGTGTTGTTCCATGTGCGGATCGAACCCACAATACTCAGCGTAGTAGGAAGCGGCTAAGTGACCGCTTAAATCACTACGCTATCCGTGCAGTCAACTGAGTTGGTGGCGCCAGCTTTGTATGGGCCACGGCCTCACAGAAATCTGATGTTCAACAATTCTTTCACCGTTTAGGGGGAGGGACTCAAAAAGTGCAGGTGTCCATGGGCGCCGGTAGTCAGTTACCATCATGTAATCCGTCTGTGCGTTTACCCCATACCATAAGAAAGGTGTATTAAGCATTTCCCTTCTTTGGTCTCCAAGAACTGCTTCAAATACTTCCGTCTTATACTTGGCATTCAGAAAAGTGCTCTAACATACACAATGATTCTAGGGCCCAGCCTTTTCTGTTTTGTATTCGGCGATCTGATGGGGCCTACCGTGTCTTTCAGCACAATGGGCATTCCTGTTCGTTACCAGTACTAGATATGGGTTGGTCGAGGGTTAGTTTGTGTATTTATTCCAACTGTATCCACCGCTACCCAAAAGGATTGACGAGAAAACAAAGTCCCATTTTCACTTCGACAGAACATTGAGCACTACCTTCCAAAAGGAGAATGAATGTTGCCAAGAAATGTATTTCATGGCGAACACTTTCTATATTGCCTAAAAAGGGGCTGAGGAAAACGACTATCCCTTTTTTTAGGGTTCCGTGCCCCAAAAGGAAAAAAAACGGAACCCTTAAAGGATCACATTGTTGTCCGTCTGTCTATCAAGACCCTTAACCTCGGGAACGCGTGGAGATATCGAGTTGAAATTAAAACCATATGCTTAGGTCTATAGACCCTTGAAGCTGTAAAAAAAAACAACTTCTAATTCACCAAAAAAAAAGATACGGCTGCTTATGCCGCAAAAAAACGCGTATTTCGACACTCTCTTGGGAATTAAAAATCAGTGTACTTTCGGTGGAACTATGAAATTTGGCAAATAACTGGGACAAATCTGAAAACTATACATTTGTAATTAAATCATAAAAAAAAGTCTTTATTTAAATTATCATCATCAAATCATCGAGGTGCAATTTCACTTATTAAACACATATAAGTGATTATGGGTTCTTTAAACTGAATTTCGGAAAAAGCTCGGCAAAACTGTTAGACTCAACTCCTGAACCCTCGGTAACCGAGTCCGACTTGCACGTGTCCGGATTTTTTTATGTGTGTAAAACCCTTTTGGGACGTCACCCCTCTATCCCTGAGTTGAATGAAGACCCTTGGTCTCCTGGTCCTTTGTTGTGTGTGATACATGTTTACTAGCCTTCTTATTTATATTTCTGACAAATCGTAGCTACTTGGATACTATGTCTTAATGTTTATTAATCTGTTTTTGGTATTGTTATAATCAGCACAAGTGCGTCATGTCGGGGGAGACACCAATACAGTCGGCCGAAGGCTTCCACACCCCTGCTTACCTCTCATGGAGGAAACTGCAGCTCAGCAGAGCCAAGCTCAAAGCTTCCAGTAAAACTTCCGCACTGCTCTCTGGTTTCGCTATGGTATGTAATTTATTTAATACAACAGATTTGAGTTTTAATTTATGATTGCATTGCGATATAGTTAAAGTCGTCGCTTTGCTACGAAACCATGGGTTCGAATCCCATAATGGACAAAAATTTGTTGTTTGATTGTTCTTTTTGTCCGTTGTCTCAATGTCACAAACAGGTCACTCCCGACATAGAAACTATAACTAGTGAGGTAAATATACCTCATTGTTTTAAAAGTTAAAAACTGTCATAGACCTTTCCTATGGACATAGAAACATGATTGTGTACGTCATGGTAGTGGTGATAAAAAGCCATCACGAGCGGTCTTGCACTTAATTCTGAAAATCAAGTGAAACACGACACGAAATCCGCAAAGCGTGGCTCATAATACCATGAATAGAAAAGACTAAATGAAGAACTTTTTTAGCAACTTATCTATAAGTAATTTGGCAGCTTAGGATAGTGCCGAAATATTCTCTAAAAAGTTTATACACCACATTGATGTTACTACACATACATACAATCAGTATTAACTGCAAAACATCTTTCAAAGTTACTTATATTCGAGGAATAAAGTCCCAATTCAATTATGTATTTATTTATTTAATTTATTTATTTAATTTATTTAATTATTCTTAGAGAGACTAACAGACATATAACAATTTTGTATAATTACAATTAAATAATCTTATTGCTAATTACAAGTCTCTGCATATAGGTACTCTAAGGAGAACTGTCGACTTAAAATGAGGAGAAGTGTAAGCCTTGGCAGGGATATACATAACACATAAATAATATACACATAGATGCATATACACGCATCAGCACATACACATGCGCACACCCCCATGTGTACACATACATACACACACATTCAAATACTAACACACTGAGATGCCGATACATAGATGTGCTAAAAAATAAATAAAGAAAGAACAAAAGAAAATCAAATAGAGAAACAGAGTAGTACAGTTTGAGTGCCACTTTAAGATTCAAAAAAGGATTGAGCTAATACCCTTCTAATCGTGTTCACATTAGTGCAAAACAGGTCTATATCGAGATTCCGTGTAAGTTGATTAAAACTATTTGCACTTCTTAGAGTAAAAGCATTACGCCTATAGTTCGTTGTTGCAAAAGGTATATTTAATAGAGGTCGTTGTCGAAAACCAATTCTATTCACACTTAACTCCACCTTAGCAACCAGTTAGCAGTTAGTGTGCAGGTTATTTTCTTGTATAGGTATTGTGTCTAGTACTATATGTCCTTGAAGATCCGTGCTAGGTTCATATACTTGCATATAACATTGCCTTATGATACTATAACCGTAAAAATAATAAAATTGAACACTATACTACTGATGAGTTATTAGCCAATAGATGGTCGTGTTTAGTGTATTTATAACTAAGGTGACCTTAACTTCGTTAGTGAAATAACAAACTGTTTTACTAATTTAAGAAGAAGCACAAAAAATACCTAACATAGGTCTTGCCCATAGCAAACATATTGCGACTGAGACATCTTCCGATAAAGAATGTTTCTGAAGTGGCAACAACCGTCACCTGTATTATAAAATTCTCAGGTACCTACTATAGTGAGACAAAGAAAGATTACTCATTGTTAAAATTATTCAGACTGTCCTATGTTCATGGCTATGGCTGAAAAAGAGAGATGAAGGATTTTTTGTCGTTTAAAATTATATGTCGTTTATATTAGACTAATAACGTAATTTTTTTTTTATCGCATTCTATTTGTTAAAGGAAAGAAGGACAAAGAAAGATCACTCATTGTTAAAGTTGTCTTTGTTAAGTAAGTTATTCAGAATGATCTGTTTCATGGCTGAAAAATAGAGATGAAGCAATTTTTTTGTCGTGGGAGAGCCATTCTTCTCCACAAATGGGCCGTCGCGACCGGACCATGGCTTCACAGAAAGCCGGTGTTAGGGAGGTTGCAGTCGCAGATGTCCATGGGCGGCGCTGGTCACTTGCCATCAGGTTACCTGTCTGCTCGTCTGCCCCCTCTATTACCTCTCTCTCCTCTATTACCTCCAGCTCCATTACCGCGATTGTTAATGTGTATAGTTTTAATTAGACTTCAGATTTGAAATTGTACGTTGGCAGGTACTTGTAAAAAAATATACCTTAAAAAAATTGGGTTCCTAAAATATCACAGACAGATGTTTAATGACAGGGCTAATGAAACAAGTACAAGTTTAAAATTTTTGACATCATGTAGTTGATGAGATAGAGGCAACTCGAAAGTTTTTTTATTGTCTCATCATCATCATCAACAGCCTTTAATAGTCCACTGCTGGACATAAGCCTCTCCTTAGAAAGGAGGTTTTGGCCTACTATACCGCGCTGGCCAGACGGGTTGGTATAGGGTTTGTGTCAAGTTTTCCTTCTCTCTGCAGTGCTGTTGTTCTGCGTAGTTTTCGGCTCTTACGACACACACGGGATAAATAGGGGTGGTGACACTCTGTATTTTTAATCCGTCACCACACGGACCAAACGTACTTATGTAATTGCTATTAAGTCATCCGTGCTATATTTCATACCGTTTCAATTCACTGTATTACTTATATATTTTGTCAAAAACAAATAATAACCCAAAATGTTTGTCACAACAACATAATTATTTATTGCCTTAAATTTACCATAGGTACTGGGTTGTCATTAATTAAAATAATTGATTAATACCTTTAATGCTCGTTAGTTTTCATCGAGTTATTAGCGCTGTTTACCCTAACATATGTTAGCGACACTATCACATACGCAATCATTTTAATTATAATAGCAGCAGCAAAGATCACGAAGACTAATTACGTAAAAATTCAAAATTATGTTTTTTAATCGCATTTTATTTGTTAAAGCTGTACTAGTTCCCTTTCTAAGGCTTCCGATTAAGCTTAATATGTCTGTTATGAACGGGTTCAGAGACTGTATAGGTACTGTGTAACTTAAGTAGACCAATTATTAAAAAAAAAACATAATTCCAATAAAAACTAGCGTTTTCATATTTTTTAAGATATAGGAGGTTCACTAGTACTTTAATTTTCAAGACCTATGTCAAAGGCTGAAGGATAAATTTATCTATGCGTTGTCTCCCGCGGTCATTTGTGCTAGGTGCAATGTCTGGCATCGTTTTAATAAAAAAACAAAATTGTCAACAGGTAGCGATGGTGGAAGTGCAACTGAATCCGCCAAACGAATCGAAGGTGCCTACTGAAATGTTAGTGGCTTTCACAGTATGCACAACATTACTCGTTGCTGTACACATGTTAGCTCTAATGATAAGTACGTGCATCCTACCGAACATCGAAGCCGTCGGGAATCTACACAGTATATCACTAGTACACGAATCACCACACGAAAGACTACATTGGTACATCGAAATCGCATGGGCCTTTTCTACCCTCCTCGGACTTATTCTGTTCCTTATAGAGATAGCTATACTTTGTTGGGTTAAGTTCTACGATTTGAGTACGACAGCTGCATGGTCCGCGTGTGTTGTACTTGTCCCAGTCATGATAGTGTTCCTAGCTTTTGCTATCCATTTCTATATGTCCCTAGCGAGCCACAAATACGAAGTGACAGTCACAGGTATAAAGGAACTGGAATCTATGCAGGAACAGATTGAATTGGGCCACCACGACGCCCGCATGAATAAGTTGACATTGCTAGATCAAAGTCGCATTGTGTGATCCGCCTGTACGTATTGCCCGTCTTTTGGAATGTTATTAATATATTTCGTTTGTGAGTGTACACCGTTGAATAATTAGGTAAGTTATGTACTTAGAAAAATAAGATCGTACTTATTTAGTGCCAATATATAGGTAACATAATGATTTGAACACTTAGTTGTAAAGGTGTTTCATATTTGTATTTTGGTTCGAAGGTAGTTTTAAAATGCGCAATGTTAAGAATATGTGTGTCTATCTCTTTCTAACATGTTGAGCAATAAGTAGATATAAATCTCATATTCTTATTTTTTTTGAGGTGCTAAGATTTCTCATGATTCATGGGAGATGTAGGACCTATGCAATTCTACTTAAAGTTTGATGAACACTTAGTGTTCATCGCATTAATAAAGGTCAAAGTAAAATGTAGCAGGGAAAGGCAAAAGTCGTATTAATTAAGGTTGTCAAGTTCCTGTAAGGTCCCAGGAAACAACCTGAAACTGAAACTTGTCAATTTCGCAAAAGAAAACCTATGGCAGAGAGCTCGAGATGAAATCCAATAACACAATTCTTCCACGAGCACCATAGACAATGATGTTTTTCCTTACTTATTGTGTATTTTTTACGCATGAATTTATTTGAAATTATCAATAAATTGCAAACAATTTATTTTGTACTGCTCTCATAGAACTTTCCGCAAATTTGCGAGTTAGGATAGATTTATGTTTAACCTTATCTCAATCATTTGTACAAAATCTAATATTAATATTTGCGGTACACAATTTGACAATATTTATTATTTAACTGCGTGTCATTTAGTTTTGACTGTAGATATAGACATAAATAAATCTCATATAGTACAAGTCTCTCAACTATGTCAAAAATATGTGACAATGAATCTCTGTAAATACAATCATATTATTTTAATATAAATTGAATTTCGAATGATAATAAATGGGACATTTACATTTTTTGTTTTTGTTGGCACTGTGCTCTTTTTATTTGAAATGCAGGCTTTTCCCTAGAACAGTCGCGATATTAAATACTTAGTACCCAAACGATTATACAAGACATGGATATCTGGGTCTTAATCCCAATTTCCTATTTAATTAACTCTTTGATTGGTATTAAACTAGGTACAATTATAAAAAAAATATATAACTAAAGATATTAGAATCTAACATGTTCACTTACTGAATTTATTTCGGAAATCGAAGTAAGAATTTCGCAAAGATATTTTTTTTGGGTAAAAGAAGATAATTTGTAAGATAAAGACAGTCGCCAAGTATAGTAGACGACCACACTAGGTAATGTCAATTTTAAAATGTAACGAAATATTGGTGCTTTGGACTAAGGTCAATTTAGAAGTGACTGACCGCATCCTCAAATTGAAAAAAGGCAAACAGTACAGGTACAGTCTTTTAGACACAATACCTTTAGTTAATGTAAATTAATATCAAAATCAACATAATTGGCTATTTTTGAGAATAAACATTTCCGTATCGATATTATCAACTTGTATTAATATTTTCGATGAGCACATGAATAAAGACTTTATCTACATGTTTCGTACCACGATAAGCTAAATATACAAAATGTGTGATTTCCCAATGAGTAACGCAACCATATCTGTTTTTGAATTACCTCTCTATTATAAAGTACATCCTAACAGTTTTTGGTATTATATTCTTAAATATTTCGCTCTTTTAAATATTTAAAACGGCGTTCAGCTACTTCATACGACACTGACAGTGTGTAAAAAAAATATGTCAATTTTTTTATTGTTAGTCTATGATCTTTTATCTATAATTGTATTATTTTGGTACGAAACATGAGTAATTTTTATTTTAAATGCACAAAGTTGTCTAGATCATGTTTGAGATTATAGACGATTCAATGATGTACATTATTTTCTGATGCCTCTAGGATTTTAAGCTTCTATGTAGTGTACACTATAAGCTGGCTGCCGCACCAAAGGTCGTGTGTTCTATGTATCTGGGTGTAATTTATCTGTAATACGTATGTATTATAATAATATGTAAACTTTTGTCAGTCGTCTGGTTACCATAGTACAGGCCCTGCCTATTGTGCGGCCAACGTCATACTATAATAATATAAGGCCAAGATTTACGAAGGAAACGTATTACTCATTAAAGTTATGTAAGTACTAATGGAGCAACATAAGTGGAGAAAATTTAGAAAAAAAAGCCAATGTATAATGTGTATATGTATGGCTAATGATGTACATTATTAAATAATTCGGCTGTGACTTTACAAGCAAAATGAGCAATTAGACCGCCTGTGACCACGACCAGTGGTAGCTGGTAGAGACAACAGGCTATTTAAATGTACGTAATACCAATTAATCCCGGTTATTCCAGGTCTAACTAGTTAGGTAATCATTTTATTTATCTTGGGACGCGAAATTTTAAAAGATAGTGGATTAAGCATATTCGATGCAATTTTCGGCAGATTTCCCATTAAAGAAATAATGCCTTTTTGTTTCCCTATCTGATATCAAAGATCGATTAATACGTTTACTATAATTTTATCGATACGTGATGTATTTGTATTGAAACAGGTCTCCCATCATTATTACAATGCTGGTTGCTTTACATAACAATGTCACATAGTTAATAACGACACCTGACATTTCACACAGATTGTGATACTTCTATTCAGCTTGCGTCTCGCATTATTAACTGTCTGATTGACCCAATCGCAAGAAAAAAATCTAATTTAATTGACATCGTTTCCTTGAACTTGGATGAACATTGCTCCATGTGTAAGTCTGCACATTTGGGTTTTCAATTGTAAGTATATCTTTGTAGGGTAGTTCATAGATTTAATAGATTCACAACTAGACAACTCAGCTTTAAACAGAAACAGTGAAAAGTCTTATTTTCGGTATAGACAAGATTCTAATTAATTTGTCATCTCCACAGATTTATACCTACGTGTTTTGTTTATAGTTTTCTTTGAGTATATTACTTATTTATCCCGCTTTCTTTAATATTCCCGAACCGATATTCTTCATAAATATTATTAATATGGTTTATTTTCGTAAAGTTGAGTCATTACGATGTCGGTTGTACTACAAAAAAAAAACAAGATTTTAATTCACCTTCACAAACAAAAACTGAAATGGCAAACTTGTAATGTATGATGTAGGCATAACTAGATGTAGTAGTATAATGATTTCTAAGGATGATTTTAAGTTCTTTTCACTTTCGGGGATAGCTAAGAACCCAAAGTCAAGATATTGCGCTATAGGAGTAAATCTAAAAGGAATTCGACTCTTCACAAGGGCGGAAGAAATGGAAATGTCCTAAAAATGAGAACACAATCTGACTTGTAGTACGAGTACGACCTCAGAGTATTTAACCGTGTACAAAATTCAGCAACTAAACAAATATGTCACCTTGTTAAATAGGTAAACATTAAACGGTATGCAAATGTGGATTATCAAAATTCAAGGCTTGACCTTCTGTTATGCCATATACGAGTACATAGCAAGAAAAAGTTTAAAATTATCGTACAAAACAAGTCTACAAAATTTCATATTACTCTAGACTTTGTACAATTGTTCAGTATAGTATGGCTATTGTCGTTAAGTTAAAAATGCATTCCCAAGTTCATTATTCAGCGCTATAACAAGAATATATTGTATTAAACGCCATGGTAAACACTCCTAGTATCGGTCAGAGGATTTAGCGAAGACCAGTTCGAGTTATGCTACCTGGACATGCTCGAGTTTTTACATTCGTAACAAAATCCCTACAAGTGACGACTGCTAAGCCAGAGGTCGTGGGTTCGAATCCCACCCAGGACAAACAATTGTGTCATGAGTACGATCACTTGTTCCGTGTTTCCCCGCTATTTCCGCAAAATATGGCCGTTTCATACGCCTCTGTGAACTCTTGGAGATATAGTAGTAAAGTCAATACCTGGGCATAGCTGTAGATATAATAAAATCGTAACTAGTTAACTGAGTTATCTGCTACATATTGATATGTATTTTCTTTGTATATGATTATTCATATTACTGGCATACGCCAGTAACATATCTATTGCTACACGTATTATATATCAGTCAGCTACCTATTCGTGGCAGGAAATCCAGGCAAAGGAAAAGAAGAGATTGTCGTTAGCAATAAAACCACTCATTACAACAACTAGACTAAGAAACTTAAAATCCTTGTTGTTAAATTTTGCGTACCATAAAGATTATTCTATTCTATCATCATTAAGCCATTTTTATGTGTGCAATATATATTTATGAGGCAAAACTTCGACTGCGACAATTGTTTGTCTCTTTTTACCTCAGTCGTAGGTAGTATATTGCTCTACTTGTTTTGAAATTGTATTACCTAATGATCCGTGCCCGAGTCAAGTGTAAGACTTGCAAGGCTGCGTCATTTGCTGCACAGATTATGTAACACAGTGTTTCACTCGTTTCTCCTGCAGCTGTTCCTTTAATAAGTATGACAGTTGTCATTTGGAATTTTTCTTTTTATATATTTCCTCACTGCTATTATTCAAGTAAGCTATCGTCTTTCTAGTTAAATTTTGTGCCTGTATTTTAATTTTTTTTTCTTATATTTTTTTCCGACTGCAACTATTCAAGTAAGCAATTATATGTTATGCCTAAATTTTCATTTCTGTAAAGCAATCATTCTAATAGTTTCGATACTTCGCTTCAAACACCAAAAACATTATCGCGCCAAAAATTTATTAAGTACGTACTTTATTTGAACGCTCCGTTGTATCATATTTATGACATCGTTAAAGATGTCCTACAAGGCAGACATTAAAAAGTTCTTCTCAGCGTGTCTTACTGAGTGCACTGATGGCGTAGTAGTTTAAGTGGTCGCCGCGCCGCTTACTACTACGCTGAGTGTTGTGGGTCCGATCCCCACAACACTCAGCGACACTTTTTGTGATCCACAAATTATTGTTCTGAGTCGGGGTGTTCTTTGTGTCCGTTTCACGTATATTTTTGAAGTCCCCTGCGACACAGAATATGTTCCCAATACTGGAGTTGTCTTTTTTAGAAAAAAAAAACGTAAATAGATTTCTTACCGCTAAGGTAACGTTAATTCTAGGTATAACTTGTGCGCCTCCTTGACCATATAAATGCAAATAAACATTCTTAAGATCGATAACCAAAATATTCCACTTGATCATTTAGATCCCCGCAGCTCGGTAAAGAGAAGAGTTAGGTAAATGAGAGCCTTACCAAGTCGTTGTCTTATCTGTTAAGACTGTTTGTCATATAGACTATACGCTTGTTTACATACTAAGTACAATTAAAAAATAAAAACTACTGAATAAATAATAACAAGGCTTGTTGCCTGTTTTGAAACACATTTGATATTCAGATTAGATCTGATGATTTCGATAACACCATGACCTAAAAACTACCAAACTGCTATATAGATACAAATATCTGTCTCTATTCGCTTAGACTTATAGCAGTTCAATGTTCTATAATATTTGTTATGATGTCATTTATCAAAAATTATCCGAGCTTCTCGCCTCTCGATTTTAATGACTTGTTTTGAATACATTTTTATTTAATCGCCAACAGTAAATTCGCGTCTCATTTCCAAAACAAATACCATATTACGTATTTGAGCGTCGATACTAGGAACTTTGATGACCCTATAAAGGGATTCCTTTTAATTATTGGTGTTTAATGTCAGAATAGATGATAGCTCTAATAATTAAGATAATTTAATCATTATCTGCGTTAAAATTGTGAGGTTAGACGGCTCGGACTATCCGACAACAAAATATTTGTATTTCTATTTTTTAATCTAATAAGATAGTTGTCTGTATCATAAATAAATAACAATGCATTAAAACAAATATATCAAATAACATCTCGGCAAATTATAATTATTCTGACTGATTGATATAGAATCTAGGGGGAGAGACAACGCACTTGCGACTCTGAGTTTCAGGTGTCGGCGGTAATCACTTACCATCAGGTGGACAGTCTGCATGTCTACACCCTTATGAGATAAAACAACAAGGGACAAGAAGCGTTGGAAAAAAGTCTTGTTACACATTTTTCGGTCTCGCTCAGATCGTGTAACGCGCGATAATAAACTTAGTTCCAAAAAACCCAGATAGACAGTCAAGTGATGTATCGTCATGAGCACTGAATCGGTTAATATGTCAATGTACCTATTGATGATTAGAAGCAATTATCGAAAGCAATAATATGATATTAACTGTATTTACTACTAAATCCATTAAGTACTGTGATATAATAATGAATGACAATTTATTAAATCTGTTAATATAAATATTTAGAAATAAGTATTATATTGTTCATGTAAAGAATTTTTGTATAATAATTTACAATAGTTTATACCCAGTAGTATATTTAATACATTTGATCGATGCAATATTTTAATTTTTTGTCGATGTCTCCCAATTTCTGGTTCAACCAGAGGCTGCTCAACTCCAGGATACGCCTCGCACACTTCAATTCTTGCTGTAAATGAAAATAACATTGAATAAATGAATCCTTAATAAAAAAAATATGTAGTTTCATTATTTGACCTAATTATGAGAAACGTTGCAGTTAGTTTAATCTAACGTAATATTTATTAATAAACTTTATCTCTATGTTTTCATATAAGTACATATTGCGCTTTGTTATTCTAAGCGGATATTTCCCTTGTCTAATATAAACGTTCACTGCTTGGAAAAACCACACTTAGAACATTCTAAAATGATAGTATAAACAGTGTCCCACTGTTGGCCACTAAGTTCCTTTCACTATCAATATGTGTCAACTGTGCTGTCAACGTTAAATTTACACGCACACCTTCATAGACTTGCACACTCACCAGCATACTAAAATTTTTGCTCCTAAAGTTAAAATATTAAATGTTAAATGGTAGTAGGTATACTTAAATCTTTTCCTAGTAAACTTTTTACCACTGAAATTTTTAAAAAGAAAGTTAATCATTGATTGCTTGATTTATTTATTCCTTTTTTACGGTCTACGTACAAATAGCAGACAAGTAAGTAACGATGCCCTATATTTTTACTGCTTCTTTAATATGTGAACACTATGTTACCTAAGTTTTACTCTCCATTCCGTAAGAAGCATTTAGAGTAATGGAAACTCTCGAAGCTCGGTTTCTCGGCAGGTAGCTACAGATACGGCTTGAAGAAGTAATGTACTGCTTTAGAGATACATAGCAATATATCTCTAAAGCAGTACATTACTTCTTCATCATCAGCTTTTACTAGCCCAATGATGAACATAGGCGACGCCTTAAAAACGAGGTTTTAGCCTACTATACCCCGCTGGCCAGACTTGTTGGTACAAGGTTTGTTTCAAGTTTTCCCTCTCTTGCAGTGCAGTTGTCCTGAATAGTTTGCTCCCTTAGTCGGCTCTTACAACACTCACGAGTTGAATAGGGGTGGTAACACTGTATTCTTAATCCGTCACCACACGGACACTAGGTACTAGTAATTGTCCATAGCTCAAGCAACCAAATGTCAAATAAACTTTTTTATAGTTAAACGCACCGATTCTCGGAAAGGCATAATTTCACAGTCCATGAAAATAAACAGCCACACATTCTTTGTCTTGAGTCAAGTCAAGTCATGTTTATCATCATTAACATGCACCTTTACTGATCGGGCACGTATTCAATACAATGGGTTTAGGATGCGGTTTCCCAATACTAGGCGCCCTTTCCTTCGAGTATACCAAGGTTAAGGTAATTAAGGTGGTTAACTTCCTAGCCCGATAAATCTTCTATCATATAGCCTTCGATCTTATTATAATTTTTATTTTACTCACAACCCATATTTAAAAGTTAAAATATGCCAAAACTTTCTTCTCAACTATATAACCAAACACAGTATTATAGTAGATAACTTGCTAATTCCGAGTATTTTATAAGTTTGTAAACACCGGGACCACGAGTAAATGATGCATATACTACCTTATAAACAAAGTATAGAATACCTAAAAGTTTTAATTAATGTGTTATAAATTATTTATTTTATACTTTGCTTGTGTATTCTGTACAATAATGAATACGCGAGAATAATTAAAGAGGAGGTGTGAACAAGAAGTGAAGAAGCTGCGACTTACACCAACACGAAATTAAAGTTTTTTTTTTGCCAAGTCGAGCAAAAAAATATAATCACAATATTGCTTACACATGTCAGCGGCACAGAAATCGACAAAGGGTATTCTTAATCCAATAAAGTAGTAGTTTCTGAGAGTTAAAAATAAAAACTACCGTTAGAAATGCCACGAGTAAAAGCTGGTAATTCATATAATAATTTAATTTGAAAAGAACATTGACGTTCGAAATGACGTACCAACTTAACATTAAAATATCAAATCAGAAACTTGTTATTGCATGAGAGGTAAACAAGCAGACGGATCGTCGCCCATGGATACATGCAACTTAAAACCCACAAGTGCGTTGCTGCCCTTTGACTGTGCGGGCGCACTCCATAATTAGGGAGGGCAGGGTAAATTATATTTATTTCTGTACATCTTTTTTAGATATTTTTACAAGTTGGAGGGAGTTTAGGACTCTGGAAACAGTATTCACTCGGTGAAGAATAACGAAAGAGGTTACTCCGGGGTTATCACTCTAGTGGAGCCGGCCCATATGTGTCCACTCCACCAATAACTAATTTTTTTTGGTTCTTTTTTAATTAGAAATATGACTTACTAGCAGTTGCCCGTGCCTCCACCCGTGTGTATATCGGTTATCAAGGTGAATAGTAGCCTATGCCCTTCCTCAAGAATCAAAGTATCTCCATGCCAAATTATATTCAAATTGGTTCAGCGGCCGTGAAAGCGTAACAGACAGACAGACAGAGTTACTTTCTCATTTAAAATATTAGCAGGGATTTATTACTCAAACAGCGGTAGTTAACTATAAATTTAAAGGAATATATGTTAATTTCTTTATTCCACCAAAACTTCTAAACAGCTTAATAATGCATTTCCACATTAATTATGTTATGGAACTGAAAATAATTATATACGGGCTTTAATGTGAACTAAAATATACGAAGCTGCGATGCTTTTAACGTCTACAATGTCGTGAATCAACTACGAGTACATGCTGTGTTGTTATCGTTTTATGTAAATACAATCACGTTATCTCCCGCTGTATACCTACCTAGCTGTACCTAACTTTTAACGCTATACCACTATATTTGTAGCCTTTGTAGGTAACTGTGTCGAGAACAAATGGTATGCACATAGACAGGTATGCAATTGGAAAATATTCCTTTAGAATTCACATAGGTATTGTTACTTTGTGAATTGATACAAAGAAAATTTATGTTAATTTTATAGGAGTAAAAAGTTAGCGCACACGTTTTTACCGTGTTAGTCGGGTCACTTGTGTAGTTGTTTAAAGGTAGGGACAGACGGCGCGACGCGCTTCCAGAAGGTTATAATGTGTATGTAGAAAATTAGATGTCACAGAGCGCTTACAAACGTGAGTTTTGACCTCAGGCTCTTTGTCTTTAACAACATTTATGGGGGGAAAATGTATTAACTATTATGTCAATCAAAGTACGATGTAAATACAAGAGCTGAATTCCAATCTTCGGCCTCTAAGTCACCATTTAAAAGCTCAAGCCAGAAGGGTTTTATGCAAGTGCATTTTTTTTTATCTTTCATAGATCTGTTGAAGTATTACTTAAAAGTAAAACAAAACTAGAATCTTTAGCAAGGGAACTACGGATATTTGTACAGAAACCATTTTGGGCGTCGCTGCGGGTGGCTAAGAAATTATTTGCTGTCATTTAATTTGCATACAATCAACAAATCATTTCAGTGTCATCATATCGTGTCACTTATATGTCAATGGCCGGACGTCGGGTATAACCATATTTCCTTAACATTTAATACAGGACACGGGGACCTATAGAATATTGTATAACTATCAAAATAGTTGTGTAATGAAATAAGGTGAGGTTTTTTTTTGTATGAAAATGCGTGCACACGTTTGTGTATATTAGTTGTGTTTGTGTACTAGTTTGAAATTCGATCACAATGTATTTAGTTTAAAAAGTCCTATTTGTCTTAAAAATATATATAACTGTTTTTTTTTCCTCATTTCGCCCTAAATTTGCTGGCAGGTGGACAGGGCAGATGTGTTCCAACACGAGCATTAGCGGAGAGCTGCTAAAGGGCGACGTTGGTATGTGTCTGGACATCGCCTTATTCGGAGGTTGCAAAAATGTGGTGCTCGCCCTTTTGCGGCCAAGCAAGAGGGAGGCCGGATGTGTTGCAACAGCCATACTGATAATGAATAAAAAAATGCGCATCCTGTTGTTCGCTGCATCCTGTGAATTCCGACACAATCCTATCTAAAACCCCAGCGATGCTGACGGCCAGAAAGCAATTTTCACACAGAAGAAAATAGTTTGTGTGACAGATGATAATCCTTAAATTAATATTATTATTGTTAGTGAGCATAAGCATTATAATACAAAGACTTTTTAAACACAGTACATAAACATAATAGATAAAATTAAATGTATTTACTTTTATAAATTTTTTAGCAATGGGGTATTGTCCTGATAAGAACTACCTACATATAATAATAATAGCCTCATCTCGCCGCCGGGTTCGAAACTGTTGATTAACATACTTATATATTTCTAAATACATACATATCATAAATAAATTCCACCCAGACACAAAACGAATGATCGTGCTCATCACACAAATATTTTGCCTGGGTGAGAATCGAACTCACGACCACTGGCTTAGCAGTTAGTGCAGTCAAATTATCGCTGTAGTTTTCGAAATAAATATGTTTTTCGGTAATTAATATCGACTATTGATTAGTGATCTGGCAGGAAATAGGGGGCCCCTAACGATCGACGGGCCCCGTGGGAGTGCCCAGTGGGAAAGAGGGGCCTTCACATAGTGGGTAAGTGGGTAAAGTTTTGCAAAAAATAACGGCACGATCGTAATAGAACCCCGACATTGAAGTCTACTAATGGTAGATATAATATCACTATGACAACATATATTTTATATATTCACAAATTTTACTACCGTTGATTGAGATTAGACACGTTTCCTTAAGAATATGTACACTAAAAGTTATTTCTCAGCGTGCCTTAAAATATAGGTTTTCTTATCTATCATCGTGGAAAAACAATATAAACTCTGAAAATTGAAAAGAAGGTATGTTACATAAAATGAAAAGTGAGATTAATAATAGACCATGGTTTGATTTGTATTCTAGAAAACTAGACTGGTCTAGATAGATCATGTTAAAGTAAAAAAAAAAACATTTTAGGCAAGCGATTACACCTTACCAATACTCGTATTGTTTTAGACGTTTCGTTTAAATAAATAGCGAACAACTACACGTTTAATTTTGGGCGTACGATCTCAAAGGCTGAAATAATTGTGTAGGTAAGTATATTTAAAAGAACTAACCGGTGGAATAGGGTACTCCGTGGGATGATCGCAGAACTGTCGTATTATAATATCAGTCATCTTAGACTTGATACAAATGTTGTCTTTCCAGCAACCTTCTTGCAATTGGCCAGTATGCATATGGTAGAAACGACCAAGACCGTTCTTCACGTCTTTTGCCCAGTTGCCTTCGTAGCGGTTACCGTCAACTGATAGGCATTACTAATATTATAAAAACATACAATTGCAAAAAAACTAGGTACTTATACAGCAGTTCAAGAAAAAGAAAAGAAAATATTATGAGATTTTATTTTACAAAAAGATGTTGTCATAATTGTGGGCAATTTAAATATTATTTTCAGGAGATAAAATTCAAAATTCATAAAACGGTATATTAGCTTCATTAGTAAATTTTCTTGTAATTTCAGTTTAAAAAAATAGTAAAAATATTTAAAATTAAGATTTTTAACGACCAACCAAATTTAGCAACGTAGAAGTCCTTCGATCTAAATAGAGGGATGCTGACAGGTTATAACAGAAACAGAAGCAAACAGTTACATATTTTACTGTTAAACACATATACCACCCCGGCTTCACTAAATATTCGAATAAGATTGTATTTTATATAATACTAGCTATTGTCAATGTCTTCGCTCGCTCGATACTTTTATACAACCGTTCATCGCTTGTTTTACTCCCCCAGAGATGAAATTACTAAAAATCCTTTCTTAATGGGTGCTTACAACATAAAAAGCATCAACTGCCAAAATTTCGAGTTTAGGCTCTGCGTTGATGAATCAGTCAGTTAATCAAAGCAAGTCATTTTTTAGGTATTGATGTTTTATTTCTCTAGACTAACAAAATAACTTAATTGTGTAACGATCTGTCTAATCAGCATGATTATGTAGCTATATGTTTGAATATTAAAAACGCGTTTAAAATGCAGCAGGCGTTACTCACCTTGCACGAACATACCCAATCCTTCTTTCTTGGACTCGTTCCAATACCCAACGTAGTAAGTCCCATCTCTGTACCACATCTTGCCGTAGCCGTGTTTGTGACCTTTCTTGAAGAACCCGAAGTAAACATCGCCATTGTCATAGTATCGCCAACCGACACCTTCAAATTTGCCTCGTACCCACCCGCCCACGTATTCAAGTCGAAATGTGCCATTGGGTAGCCGATTACTTAAGGTACCGAAGCCGTGTCTGTGATTCAAACAAACATATATTATGTATATATGCATAAAAATGTATAGTATCCGAGTCTTAAAACTAAGTTATGAAATATTATTAAATCTTGTTTTGTCTCTATGATTCACTAAAACGACTGTGATGCAAGACGTCTTACATTTAAGCTAGGTTTGTGTTTTTGCCACTAAACCAGTTATGACTAAAAATAATGCTGTAAACACTTATTTACATGAACAAAGAGCATTCAATATTGGAGCATAGCATAAAAGTAATGCTTTTTTTTTTAAAGAACCCACACCACTAGGAATGTAATCCTGCGTCGCGGGGGACTTACAAACACACATGAAACGGACACAGAGAACACCCAGACTCAGAACAACAATTTGTGGATCACACAAAGTGTTTTCCCGTATGGGGATCGAACCCACAACATTCCGGTGAGTTTGAACGCTTAAACCACTACGCCATCTGTGCAGTCAATCATGCGTATGGACGCGCGTTATAATTTGCTATTTAACTTTTCTACTTTTAAAATACACGGTATCTTTGAAATGGTTAAACATAAAACTTCTAGTAATAAAATAATTAATAATAATTTTAATTCTGTTCGTAAATAGTAAATTCCGGACTTAGACTTCTTTGGAGATAAAGATCAATGGCACATAAGCAATTATAAATACGAGAAGTATCGGCCCTCCCAACAAAAGCACGCCCAATGTGCTGAAGCACGATTGCGGCTCCGTGCTCATCGCACCTCTTTGACTGTCAGGGAAAATCCCCGTATACCACAGCCGGGGTCATCTGTGAGTCAACAGGAAGCAAAGTCTTTTAGAGTTCAAAGGATTTTTTATCTAGGGTCTGTGATGGAATATATGTTTGCTTCAGTCACCTCCAAACTGACATTTTGCTTGAACGTCTAGCTCCGGTGAAATAAATACCTAGCCGGTATTTATTTCAATGGAGCTAAACGATTACCAAAAGTTAAATAAAGAGTTTACAGCATTGGACTTAAGTGTATCGCACACGTATTGTAAAATCACCCATTTCGTGGCTCACAAAAATGCCAAACGTAATATTGCAATAGTATTTAGTTTCAGTTTCTGTTAACCTTTGCCTACCTACTTTTATGTGACTAGGATGGCTAGTTGATTTCCCTGTCTTAGTGGCGTCTCAAATCACAGGACAATCATACAGATATGTAATCCGGCCTCTTCGGGTTACTGTTACAGCCTCCTTTCCCCAACCGCGACTTACGGTAATACTTCCTCTTTTTTTTTTTTTCCGTGCGGAAATCCCCTCGGATACCACCTGTCGGTGGCATGTCGGGTACTAATAGCCGGGGAACCAGGTATACCCTAGAAAGAGTAATACTTCCCCTGACTCCCTCGCTCTGTCTATTTGTCTTACACAAAATTACTTTCTTCGTTCGTCCAGTCGAAGAACAATAAGGTAGTCTATCTGGTCTGTGATAGTTTAGATTATTTTGGAATATTCGTACACCTATATCTATGGTTTTTTTTTGTATACACAATCTTGATAGATATCTTTAAACATGTTCTATTATTGGCACGAAATGCCAGTTCCCTTTACAGTGGATTATGAATCATCATCATCATCATCATCATCATACGGTCATCAATAATACGGTCAGTTATCTTTCTTGTAGGTTGTATTCTTGTCATTCTTTCAATCATGAAATATATACATCCTCCTCCGAGCCTTTTTTTGCCCAAAGCTAGGCTAATCTATGTTCAGCCGAATTGTGGTAGACTTACCTACGAAACTAAGTTTACCACAATTCGGCTGAACATAGATTTTTTGCATGGAGTGACTGCCATCAGACATTCACAACCTAAGTACTAAACGATATCGAAGTTCTGTAGAAAGACTTATTGAACTTTTTAGGCCTCCAACTACCCATAACGATTGCTACAGATCTTCGTATGGCCACCGAGGCCGATGGCTTCACGTGCTCGTTGAGGCACGGAGGGGTCTCAATGTGTTACTAATGGTCACCCATCCATAGACTGACCTGGCTAGGATTGCTTCACTTCGCAATGTGCTAACCTACTAGATTACCACTTAGCCACGAGTCCCTTGAGTCCCTCGAAATTATGAGATATACTTAAATGTAATTTAGATTTGGTAATACGCACCTGAAACCTTTGTACCAGTCCCCTTCGTATAATTTACCACCGATTGTTAAAAAACACCCCTTGCCTGCAAACAATTGGCTAGGCTAGGTAAATAGTAGCTACAACAAGTTTTTGAACTTATTAACATTAAGCGTTTTTGGGCCATTGTCATTTGAAGTTACGTTCATTTTGACGAATGTCAATTATTGTCTTAATGATTTCGTCACACGGACCGTGTGAATTGTTGTTGACTGTTTGTATTAATAATAACGACTCGTACGATATATTTTTTTCATAAAGACAACTCCTGCACTAGGAATGTTGCCGGGGACTTCACAAACATTTATGAAACGGAAACAAAGAACACCCAGACTCAGATAAACAATTTGTGAATCACACAAAGTGTTATCTCAAGTGGAAATCGAACCCACAACACTCAGCGCAGTAGGAAGCGGCGAGGTGACCTCTCAAACCACTACGCCATCCGCAATCCACTTGAACTTAAAGATCTAAGTGCCTACCTTCTTTTAAATCATTTTTCCAGTCACCAACATATCTGTCAAATCTCGATGTAAATATAGCGTGATGTACACCATTTTTGACAGCTTTCTTTTCTGCCGCGATCAATAGAGGCGTAAATTCTCGTGGTTTACGATAGAAGGGCATGGGTGTTGTGGAAATTACAAAATAATATTACTTATAATAATACTAAAACTATATATTTAAAAAAGCTTTGACATGATATCTATGTACATTTCTCTACAAAGTGACAGTTATTATCTTAATATATAATTATATTCTCTATTTTGTGGTCATGCAAAGAGGTTTGATAATTTACGCAGTATTCACACTAACATTTAAATATTGTCTAAAAAATTATAAATATAGGCTACTACGAACAGGTGTGAGGCAACGAACAGAGTCCTTCTCAAACGAAATTGACATAAGCAATAGACGACTTTCAATAAATGTGTTTTCAAAATACTTATGTATTGCACTTGGTTTCTATTTATTTTATAATAAATTATAAAAATTTAAATAGACATTCAAGTCGGAGGTCTCAAACTTCACGCCGAATAGCCAAGTGACAGTCATACGAACCTGACCTTCTAACATAGAGATAATATAAGAAATAGAGCACGCAAGGGAAGCCTCACCGTGTCTCAGGGTGCGAGAGAGATCGTAGCACGCAGGCCCCCTCCATCTCTTTCTTAATTTTTGCATATGCGAGTCACGTTAGTAATAATCACGATTGCCATGCGGTGAGAGGCCTTTGTGAGCAGCGATCTCTCTCGCACCGTGGGACACCTCAAAGCATTGGGGTAGGTTAAGCCTTCTAAAGATATAGATTTGCCTTCAATTTAAAAATCTACCCTTCACTCACTCATATCTCCGACCTACGTATTGCATTGTCCTTTACTATGGGTGGTAGGTAGAGGCAACAAGAAATATCTGTGTATGGAGTGTCCGTCAAAATGCGTTAAGTTAGGGGCAGCACAGTAGCATAAGGATAATTTTTTGAAGAAAGTAGATAAATAAACATTGAAAGAAAAACACTGAAAATTTTATATTGACTTAAATAGTAATTAGACACTGTGTACTAGACTGCGAAAATAGACAATAAATAAACCTCTAATAACTTTCAGACACTAAAAGTATTATATTTTAACTCAGTACTAGGCTTGCAACGAATATTCGGTTACTATTCGGTATTCGGCCTATTCGGCTGCTTTTATTATATTCGGCCGAATACCGAATATCTACATATTATTCGGCCGAATACCGAATACTTAAATAATATATCTTGTCATTGAGAAATAATTGGTAAAATTAAAAATTAAAAACGATTGATTACGTATTTATTCATATTTTTATTTCTGTTATAATCATTTAAGTAGTCATTGGTGCATAACACCTGTGTTATGCACCAATGACTACTTAAATGATACTACATAATCATCTTCTGAATTGGAAAAATGGAGGATTCTATGTATTTGAATTATTGTGGTAATCAAAATTTAGAAGGGTAAGGTTCTCATTTCTTTTATAATCATTTATTAAGTAGTCATTGGTACATAAAACAGGTACATAATTTAATTCACGTCTGTACAAGTTTTTGGCGCTAAAATCCAGCCGAATACTTTTGCCTAATATTCGGCTATTCGGTCAGGGGCCTCGCCGAATATTCGGTATTCGGTATACTGCCGAATATACTATTCGTTGCAAGTCTACTCAGTACACTTTACTCGCCTATAACAGCTATGTTCATATCGTCGTTTCTCGTACGCCAGCGACCTCTATTTTCAGTATACAGCTGGACAATTATCAACTTTCCCCCATATGAGATGGTTCTCCTCGCCTCTACCCTCCATATCTTTTACAAATAGCAAACACTGTTGTTCGTTAATACTTAAATGATGACCTTTCCAGCAATTTATTTATGAATTAAAATACAGTGGTATTTTTATAATTTACTGACTGATCCGCTAAACGTTGCTCTGCCATATAAATATTAACAAAAAATCTAACGTAATTGAAAAAAATGTAGGGTAACAGGATGAAAAAATACTTTACGACCTGTTCTTATCTCTACCAAATATACAGAAAGAAATACATTAAAATCGTTCAAGCCGTTTCGGAAGCAAGGCAAACACCATGAAACGAGATATTTATATAGGTATTGGCTTTCCGAGTTAATATATGTAAGGGAACTACGTTTTAAGTACGATGATTCATTTGCGCGCCGGGCAAAGACCCAATTTCCACCACAGCAGAGACGAGACGAGAGGAGATGGGCTGCGAAGCTGGCAGGTTATTTCCACCAAAACGGAGAGGAGATGCGTAGCAGAAAGGAGAAGTGAGCTGTGTGTAGCAGAGATATAAGCTGTGAGAGCTCGAGTAATTAGAGGTTGAAGGAATACGATTAATTCTTCAATATTGAAATTATCGACGGCGACATAGACTCTGGATAAGAAACCATCTAAAATGTCACAGTCGGAGAAGGCAGCGGGGAACGGCACGCGCGAGCGTAGGTGCCCGCCCGGCCGCCAACTACACACTTCTCCGCTCTGCCGCGCCGCTTGCTCTAAGTGAGACATCTCCTCTCCTCTCCGCTTGATTCATTTCCACCGAAGCTAAGCGGAGATGAGGAAATAACGAAATCTAATTAGTTATTCAAAACCCATCTCCTCTCGTCTCCTCTCCTTTCTGCTTTGGAAGATACCGGGCCTTACCTCGGTTGACGAACTTTTGTGTAAACACTACAGCTATACAAGGTACGTCCGCTAAATATTACATTACCAAAAGGCATAGGTAATACTCTTTTACAACAAGGTATAGAAGTTAGGTTTGTCATACTTCCAAAAAACAATCGGAGGGTTAGCAAATCCCACGCTATATTCAGATTTATACAAGTTACTGAATATAAAGAAAACCAGAAATTCGATTAAATTATTTAATTTAATCTTTAAAACAGGTAGTACAATAAAAATATCATAAAAACTTAACTACTCATATATTTTATTCTACTATAGTTTACGCTTTGCCGTGGGCTTTCTTCAAGCCTCTGCTGAGTTCTATCAGTTGTTTGTAATTCTCCCTAAAGCCCTGAAGAGCTAGTTCTTGCTGACTCTTCATAGAAGAATTAGTTTTTATGTACTTCTCTATGCATTCCAGGCACTTGCTGTCTAACTGAATATCTTCCTCAGTTAGACACTCGGGTTTGGCGAGTTGAATTGGAGTAGCTAACACCTGAAATGTATGATAAGGGTTAACTTTACATAAGATCATATTAAATTTTACAACCATTTTTTTAAATTATTTCTCAAGTTGTGATTGTGCCGCCCGTGTAGAAAGCTCGTTTAAGTTGAACGTTGTTTCCTTTTTTTTTCGTTTTTTGCTCATTTTATAGTGATTGATGGATGTATGGACGAAGCCGCTAACATCACCGCCAAGACATTAATTTTAATTACGAAAAGAATCGTCCAAGTTTAAAATGCAGAAAGTGGCCGACTTGTCGTGTTGTCATCGTCATGTTAGAAAATTATATGAGAGATGATGTGGTTGTCGCCACTTGCGTAACAGCATGTTTTTTGGATTTTCAAGAATGACTTACGAAGATTTTGAAGTGTACACTTCAAAATCTTCGAAGGTCATTCTTGAAAATCCGTTTATTAGAGGCAATACACGTTCATAGTCACAATTAGACGGCATTTTGGTTGCAGTCATCGCACAACACAACGCTAGTACTCGAAAGCCGAAAGCAGACTTCAGCAACGGGGCGGGGGGCTCCCAACCTACCGCCATACCCCGGAGGCCAAAAGTTGCTGGCATTGTGTGTGAAAGAATTACAACATTCGGTCCAGCTATTCACAAAAGGGAATGTTCTTAAACGCGACCCTTGAAGATCCCATTTAGTGCAAATGCAAATTCTAAATACTGAGTTTTTAAGCCACAATATTTCTAGAACAATATGCTGACATACAAAACACTGAGACATAAAGACCATCATACCTGATGCACAAGTGAAGGTAAACTTTCTCCATTAACTACATCACCATGTAGATCTTGTCTCAATGCTGTGAGCAGCACTGCATCCCGAACTGCACTGTTCTGTAGTAACTCCAATATTAAATTGTCTATGCTTTGATGCCAGGTCAGGTAAAAGACTAAAGGTCCAAAGTGTCTAGTTGATCTAAAAAAAAAACAAAAACTTGGTTAACTATGTTTTATCTCTCCACAACAGACAACAAAATCAGTACACCTGGGATGTAGAATTTGTGCGGCAACTAAACTAGTGAAGTATGACATGTAAGCTTATTTTTTTTATTTGATGTTTCTAAATTATTTGCCATTAACACAAAAATATACTTTACTAACCTCAGAAGTTCATATTTGCTTAGGGTATCAATATGCTGGTATGTAATGCTGGTGATCTTCTGATAAGAAGGTTCATCTGGTTCATACTGCACACATGCACGGTCAAGTACAAACTCATACTTCTCCCTATCTAATAAACTGTACAGCTTTTCCTGGTCTGTAAACATAAGTGGCTCTCTCAGTTTTCGACCGTTCATTGGGAAGTATGTCTGAAATAGAAATTACTTCAAATAAGAAAGGAAACTCTTTAACAGAAAGATGATTTATGACTATTGTGTTCCATTTTATAAAAAGGAAATAGTGATGACTGTATGACTATGATTTAAAAAACTTATGTGAATGGTACTCATTACTTATTTATTAAAGATATAAGACTTTAATTACATATATACTTCATTGATGATCAACTAGACCGAAATAGTGAATTTGCTATTTATGAAACCATATCTAGACTTAATGAGTCTGTGATTATCATTTAACAGTTTCTACTCTTTAATAATCAGCAATAAAAAACCCTTATGCTTAAGCTTTACAAATAATTTAAAAAATAACTAGATTGCCATCTGACAATGCAGTTTAAAATTAGAATGGATAAAAAGGCAGACCCATTGAAGTCGCATGAAGTAAATCACTTTAAACCACTGACAAAGGAACTACAATTAAATCATAAGCCACTCACTTTTAGTTCAAAGCATTTCTCTTGATAACCTCTGTACTCCTAACAATTTGTTTACATATTTTCATGGCGATGGCTAAGTAGTTACAGTGGTAATGGTTTCAAAGCATATCAAATAAACTATTTTCGGCATCATTTATAATAGTTAGATTCATAGTATATTTACCTGGTTTAATCTTTTCCTAACATCATGGTCACAGCTGCGAAGAATGCCATCAGGGTCCCTGAAAAAAGAATAAATAACTTTTAATAATGTATTACCAACTTTAAAACATTTATATAATAACAAATGGTAATTAACTGTTTTCTTCATTTTGTTATTTTCTTTAAATCCGAATGGGACCAAAATATTTGATGAGCCTGTTGCTCTAGTGGTTAGTGATCCTAACTGGTAAGCTAGAGGTTGTGGGTTTGATACCTACCAAGGACAATTAATTGTGTGGTGAGCATGATCATTTGTTCTGTGTCTGGGTGTATTTTATCTATAATATGTATTTATAAATATATAAGTATGTTTATCAGCAGTCTCGTTTCCATAGTACAGGCTCTGCCTAGTTTGGGATCAAATGTCCATCTGTGAGATGTGTGAGGTTATTATCTGTTCCCAGAAAGGAAGTTTCCAAAGTGGTTCATAAATATTACTAAACATTAAAAAGAGAAATTTTTAAAATTCTCCTTTCTCGAAGTCGGTTAATTAAGAGTACCTATCAATATTAAAAGTCATATAAATACATCACTTTGATAACTATAGCTTTTTAAATATCATTAAGAATAAAACGCAAAAAATAGATAAAAACACATTTGTGTAAGAACTTTTTGAGTTATACACAAACCAATTAAATTTTTTGGTATCTTTACATAGTATAAAATAAAGTTGCTTTTTTGTGTTGTATACTTAGATCTTTAAACTAAGCAACGGATTTTAATGCAGATTTCACCAATGACAGTGATTCAAGAGAAAAATTTATAAGTATAATACAATGTTCATATTATATTAGAGGCATCCAAGAATTTCAAAGATTTGTCGCAAAAACCATAGTTTTGTGAGCTTACATTGCAAACGCCTGCTAAATCTTAATAGATAGACTAAATAATGTACTATGGAATTGTTTATCTTAAAAAGATCTACAAATAAGTACATGGTGGTATATTTCTATCTCCTAAGGATAACCCACAGTAACTATTTTTATCTTTTAAATTTTACAAAAATATTTTAAACAATACATTATTATTCCTTATCATATTAAATACGTTAGACACATTGTTCATTTAATGTAGATTAAAATTTCTCCATACAGCATATCACTACAATGAAAATTTTAGAAGATATTAGAGGTTTAAAATGCAGGGGCCCAACGACAGTCTAGCCGTACGTCTGTCCCGGGTGGCAGCATACCTATAAATGTTGCATATTTATAGATGTCCTGTAGTATAGATAGTCCTATCAATAGATATTAGTATTAGCACATGTGCAATGTAGATAACATTGCACATGTGCGAAACTGGGCTGGTTCACTAGTACACAATAAGATAAATGAGATACTTTATAATTACATATTTTTTAAACATTGGCAATAATTATAAATTATTTTCATGAAAACCATACCTTTCTATGATAAATCTGTGCTCATTTGCAACACCAAAGGTGATATCAGTAAATAGATATTTGGCTGTATCATATCCAATCAAAGCCGGGTCTTTGGAGAGGACATCATCTATATGTTTTTGAATCTGTGGAAGGAAAGAATGATTTATTTTTAACAGCAAGCTCATCATTGTCAAAGACATAGTTAATTTTTTTTTATTACAGTATTGCTTTTCAAATTATGTTTTATAAAAATGACATTGTTTTGTTTTTTTAACTTAAGGTTGGTTTTCTTTGCTTGGAGAGATGAGGCTGCATTCAAGCAGCAAAAGCAAACACGTAAAAAGTAAAGCAAATGTGTAGTAAATACAAGTGCAATGAATATGTATTTTGTATTTACTACACATTTCATGTCTCATATTCTGTGTAAATATCCACCTATATTTGAAAAAAGGTTTTATTATGTAGTTAAAAAAGAATGTTCTATATGTATAAATGATTTTTTCTAAATCCATTCCTGTAAGCTAAATAGCGAAGCGAATAGCGAAGTTAATTTTTTTATTTAATTTTATATTTACCTTAACTACAGGAGGCATTTGAAGTAACTTTTCGGCCTTCTTTTTAGCATTAGCCAACTCCACTTCCAATTCTTCATTTGTTAGGAACTTATAAGATGGTGTTTTGAGAATAGTCAAGCCCTGATTAGTCCTTTTACGAAACACTTTGTTATAGTCTGGTCTAGTTAGTCTTTTCAGCATAACTTGGACATTTGAAGAGAAGAATTTTGGTGCCGGATCTTGTTCTCCATCTATGGCAAGATTATATCAAAATAATAACAATCCCTATTCATAATTTCTGTATCTTTGTTAATATACTTACCATACAGTGATGGAACTATACTCAATTTACGGCATGAAATAACAAATATTTGTGCATCATAGATTCTGTTTTTAGGATTTGTCTGTGCTAGCTTTCGAAATAAATAAGACATTGTATCGCTTCCTAAAAATTCAATTATTCAATGTATTCTAACCTATCTTATCCATACACTTCACATTCACAAGACGGTAGGGATGATCGATGATCATCGATGTTAAAAGATAGAACATCGATGTTTTAACATTGATTTAGTATTACACAAAAAATACATAATCGAATAATAAAAATTATAGATTTTTATAAAGACACAATGGTATCACTCACATTGGGAGAGAACAGACTCATACAGAATTGCATACCGCTGAATACATTGCAATGGTAGCTGTTACTAACTTGCGAAGAATGGCTGATAGATACAAATAAAGTATTGGGAGTGTTGACTGATGGTGGAGCATAATTATGTAGTGAAAGTTATTGATAGTGCGATGGCAAAAAAAACCGTCATTTCTTTAGCCCACATGCATAAATTAGTAGCACACAATCTATTGAAAACCTGACCAATTACCAAGCTTGATTGCACCCGTTAAAGAATAGACATGTGGTTCAAGCGATCTGTTGCAGCAAGTGATGATCTACGGAAACAGTCATAACTGAAACTGATTACTTTAAAACTGCGTCCAGCTGTTAACCGAATTTTAAACTGCCATAACAGTGCTCCTCCAATTGTAAACGCTAAACAGATAGAAGAACTCGCTGAGATTGCAACTTAAGAGGCATGCGGAGAAAGCTTTTTTACCAGGAGAAAAGTTATTCCTTTAACGTGAATGCTAAATTTTTAAATCGACGGTCAACGCCCAAACATGTTGAATTGAAAAAAATCATGCAATTTGAATGACAATATCAAAATATTCGGTGTCGTAAATCTCGCATTAGTACGAGGAACCTCGTAGGGTTAGCAGCCCTGGACCTGATTAAGAATTTATCAACTTTTGCAAACCGAAATTAATTTCAATTTCAACTGGAATTAACCTCAAATTGAAAAATAGGATATTCCATTTAATCGAATTTTTGTTATTGTTCAATGTACAACACTTTTTAGTAACATGTAATAAAAATCTAGTTTGACAAAAATATGAATTAGAAGCGCAGCGAAGCTGGAGCTGGGAATGACCTCAAGACATACTATATTTACATTAAGCATTCCGTTCCTTTAGTTTTGATAAATGGCGAACAAGCAATATATTGTTTAAATAGATAATTAAGTTTTGAAACGGAAAAGGGAGATGATTTACATCTAAGTAACATACGTTCACATCCGTTACTCTGTTTTGACTTTTGACAGTTTTGATTACTACGCGTTTGTAGTCTATGTATGTCTATTACAGTTTACACAGTTGTATGTATTGTAGCTTAATTGTCAAAATATATTTGTTTCGGTGTCTTTGTGAATAAATATATTTTGATGAAGAAAATACGTTGATGACTATACTTTATACAGTGAAATATAACTTGATGATTGAATACTATCATGGCAAAAAGGAAAGCGGGTGTGAACAATATTATTTACGAATTGGATAACGAGGACATTGAAGTCAGCAGTGACGATGAGGTTAAAGAACCCAAAACGAAACGTTTGGAGACGGTCATCAGCCCTAACACAATTACTACTGATGATAAAATCGAAGAAACTGGTATCGAAAATGTTACTGTTGATAAATCCGATGTTAAAGTTAGCGATGTTGCATCGTCCACGATTATTCAGAATGGAGGGAAAATGTCAGTTGATTTTGTTAGCGTTGAATCACAAAACGTTTTGGATTCCGTACAGAATGAAGACGTCGTCGACTGCGTTAAGAAACCTATCACAGAAATCTGCAAAACTACTATTCTTAATGAAGATATTGTTATAGATTCGCCTGGTAACAGTGACTTAGGAGTAGAGGGCTGTGAAAATAAAACACCACTCATTACCGTGAGATTTAAAAATAATAAATTGGCAGTTAATTATAAACAGCAGATTAAGGCATTTATGTTAAATTTAATTAGACAACATGAAGGTGATAGTCAGGTTTCTGACAGTGAGACTGATCTAGAACTAGATATTTGGCCTGAAGATTTAAATGAAGAATTGCCTGACATTGCAGAAGAGAAAGTAGAAGACAATTTGTTTTTTGTGGACACAGATCCAGGTGATGATAGGTGTGATGATGTACCAAGATACAGTCAGGTTGGTTAATAAGTACAATTTCTCAACCCTAATAACCTATATCGTCCAGTGATTTGAACCGTAAGTTCTTTCAAGCTTTTGTGACTCCTGAGTTGCAGGCGTTTATGAGGGGTAGTAGGTTTATAACTTTCCGTGACCCCCCATTTGCCCCCTTATCCCTGAAAAGAAATCAATTTATTCATATTGCACATTGTTAAATTTCAGACATCAACTGTGATTTCCAACGTACCTGAAAAAGAGCCAACTCCTCCACCAGCCCACCGAGGACGCAGTTGTTTTAATTGTGATGGCAATCATGGACTTAGAGATTGTCCAAAACCAAAGGATTTTGCTAGGATAGCAAATAAGAGAAAGAATTTGCCAGTTAGAGTTGGGTATGTGATATTTAATTTAATTTTAACAGTGATTATATGTTTCATGTTCAGAAGTTTTTTTTTTTTAAATATTTGGCATCATTGCTTACAAGTAGAATTTAAATGTAAGGACCATATCAAGGTAAAATCACTACTTAAGTAATAGTACTCTGGAAATGGCCAGCTTCATGCCTTGAAGGTAGCTGAATGATCACACACAAACTATTGCACATTCCTTAAATTAACAAACAAAAATGTACAAAATTAATGTTAACACTGTGTATGTGCTAATATTACATACGGTATGGGATAATAAAAACAAAGAAGGTTTTAAGCATGTTTTACTTAATGAAAATTAACTCAAAAAGAATTACACTCAAATAGATATTCATATGTTAGAAGAAATAGAGTAGAATCTAAATACCATAAATTTAGATTATAACGTTATATAAAATAATTTACAATTTCTTCTCATTTAATTAACCCAATTAATAAACACATTGCCTTTTAAAACGTCATTTATTTCTATCTCTAGTTGTATTATTTAGGTCTTTTGTATCATTTTGTAAATACAGGTTTTGTCCATCATACATGATTTTTAAAATGATAAGTTAAAATGTATAGTGTTGAGGAATTTAATTACAATTTCAAGTTATATTGGTGATAATTTATTGGAGTTGTTTCTTAAACCATACACACCACCACCATATTTATTATATTATATTATATTATTTATTAAATGTACATGTCAATTCTTTATTTTCAGACGTTACCATGTAGAAGATGAGCAAAAATTTGGCCATTTGATACCTGGAAGACTATCAGGACAGTTGCGTCATGCACTAGGACTCAAAAGACACGAGTTACCATTACATATCTATAGAATGCGGTTGTTAGGATACCCCCCAGGTTGGTTAGAAGAGGCGAGGATATCGCATTCTGGAATAGCCATGTTTGATTCATCAGTAAGTAAAACTCTTTTTGCATTCATAAAAGACTAGCTTTGGCCCGTGGCTCTGCCCGCGTATATGTTGGTTGTGGCGTTAAAAAGTAGCCTATGTCCTTCCTCAAGAATCAAAGTATCTCCATGCTAAATTTCATCAAAATTGGTTTAGCAGTTTAGCCGTGAAAGTGTAACAGCCAGAATAACTTTCACATTTATAACATTGGTAAGTAAGTATTAGTAAGAACATGAAGATAAGGAGAGCTAGATATTTTAAATGGTGTTGAAGAAGAAAGACTTAAACTGATGTAGAACGGCAGTCACCAAGCTGTTCTATTACTTTAAGTAGCTACCATTCTTGTTGTTAAATATTTTGGGCTGTAAGGCAGAGCATACAAGACTAGGAGCGGCGACCTCTCTATGATTAACATAAGCTAAATCGGCACTTTTGACATGGCGCTACAAGAACATCGAGGCCTCAGCTTGTCCGGCTTAATTCAGTAAATCCGGGCTGCTGTGTGCTGTGCTGTGGCCCGGGTCGCTTGTGAAATCGGTACTTACATACGTGCTGCGTTACATCGTTTGATAGGTATTACTTAACTATGATGAAAGTGAGAGCATATAGCATTATATTACGCTGCTTAAATGACAGTAAAGAACCAATGTGTAATTAAACATGTTCAACACCTCCAAATAACATCAAAAGGTATAGAATTGAATTACTGTGTTTCGTAGTAGCAGTCGCTACTCATTGAAATGATTTTGCGAAGTAGGATCTTCGTTCTGGTATTCATATATATTTTATGCCATGACCCACTACTATTCTACCGAACTCTCTGCTAATCAGACCAACAAAGTGGCCCAAAATGTAAGCCACTACCAGATAGACCATGTTTGCTTAGGGCTTCGTAAACAAATCTCCCGACCCCAAAAATTATTAAAATTACAGGGCAACGCGATTTTGGAAGCAGATGATGAAGAAGGTGAATTTATAGAGCCAGGCTCAAAAGATAAGTTTGACATCAAGAAAATATTAGACTTTCCTGGATTTAATGTATTGCCTAGTCCAAGATATAAAGAGGTATGTATGGAATCTGCCTTAGTAACAAATTAATTTTTATTTTCAATTTTTCCTTGGAATTGTTGTTTTTCTTACAACTCACGTGATACTCCTATGCGGCGCGTATAGTATTGTTGATGATCTGACCGGTTTCGGTATGAGAGCAGACGGTTATGGTAATTATATCATACAGTGAAACAAAACCTAGAGTAACTAGTTATAAAGAACCCACTACGAACCCACTACAAAAAGCTGTTTCTATGTTGAAGTTGTATATATTTAATGACCCAATTTTCATGATAGTAATTATCACCAACACATTCTACATAGAGTCAGGCAGGTTGTAGTATATATTACGTTAGTTTTTATTATGTACGTAAGTTAAATGCAGAAATGCCCAATCAATTGCCCGACGGCCTCGGTGGCGCAGTGGTAGCGTATGTGACTGCTGTGCTGGGGTCTCGGGTTTGATTCCCGGGTCGGACCAAATGTTTGTATGATCTGCAAATATTAGTTTCGGAGTTAGGGTGTTTTCTATGTAAAATATGTATGTATTTACAAAAAAAGTTAGTATTCTATCAGTAAGTCTAGCTTTCATAGTACAAGCTCAGCTTGGTTTGAAACTAGATGGCGTTGTGTGTCAGATGTCCGAAATATTATTATTATTATACCTATTATATCTCATTATGAATATATAATTCTAGGAGGCACATATAATGGGTCTTCCCCCCATGGCTGATCAGGACAGCAAGATGGCAATGCTCCAGTTTCTAGCCCCAAATGCAATGAAGGCATACAAACGCAAGAAGCTGACAATGTTCCCTTCAGCAGACTCCAAGAATACCACGATAGAAGGTCAGACTGAAATGGAGCTGGACAGTGGTGATGGTAAGATCAAAACTAACCATACTATTCTTTTGCAGAACCATATACGGGTCCTACGGGTCATATCCCTTTAGTGCTTAAATTTATAAAGCACTAAAGGGACCATTACTCACCAAAATATTTATTTATCACTCGAAAAAGCTAAGTAAGACAGTCTAAAAATATTTGCTAAATATAGAAATTTTGAATTTTAAAAAATATGTAAAAGAAAGTTAAAAAGATATGGTATTCTACATAATGGTATAAGAATAATTGGATATGCATTATTCCGTGTATCTAGTAGGAAATTGTTTTCCTTAATTATTTACTTTAAGTTTAAAAGTGAGTTCATTAGGTGACTCGTGATTTTTATCGCTTCGGGTGTCGCACTAATAGTGGACTTAATATAATAATAATGCCTTTAATGATTAAAAAGGAACAATCGTCGAAAGTCAACTTTCAATAAAAAACATTAAATCTAATTTGATGAATTCATTTAGGAGCTAAGATGGTACAACTAACAGACATATATACGTGAAACTATTTATAATACTCTTCTTTTAGCATTAGGCATTCTATAGTGAAATAAAATATTTTAATGCAATTATGTTTTAAAATTGCAGAATTAACTGAGTTTCCTTCAGTTCCCCCGCTCCCTGATGAAGCTCCGCCTCCACCTCCTCCACCACCAAGTTGCCCTCCGCCTGTATACACTCCACCGCCCTTGCCAACTTCTAGTCCACCTCTGCCATCCCCACAGAAGGAAGATCAGAAAGAAGAGGATAGAAATTCTGAGGATGATGTTGAAGTAATTGAGGTTCTAAAAGTTGGAGACATTCCCATACCCATGGCTGATTTCATTGTAATTGATGAGGATGACAGTGAGGTGGTAAGTAAAAATAATTGAATATTAATCATATACTAAAACAAAGTATTTACTATCATTATTTTAACGATTGTTGAAATGGTCGTTTAAATGATGGTAGCCAACTGCTGGAGTTTTTTACTTAATATTTGTTACTCCCAAAACTGAAATTCCTTTTTTAGGATAAAACAGAGAGTAGTAGTCGCGCCAGCCCGTCTCTGGATGACTTGGAGGCAAAGAAGCAGCTATTACTTAATGCTCTAGAAGTAACTGATATTACTGTGATAGATAAGACTGAAGAGTCGCTAGAAGAGATCACAGATATTTCAATTAATGATGCTAAAGAAAATGAGGACAAGAGGAAAATTATTGACAAAGTTTCTGACGATAACACAATTGAGGACAAAGCCGGTGACGACAATGAAAATGCCGAAAAAGTTACTGACGATAATGCAAATGCTGACAATATAATAGATGATATAAATACTGATAATAATGGGACTGCTAACACAAATGCTCCCGAAGTTATTGTTAGAGCCACGAATGATGAAAATGTTTCTGACAAAGATGCAAATGTAGGTGATACTTCTGTCAGTAACAAACCAGAAATCCCAATTTTAGAAAGGAATTCTCAGGATACTTCACCAAGTATTCCAACACAAGTAGTAAACACACAAGAATCAAGTTCTCAAGTTGTGGATACACAAGTGCCCCTGTCAGATTCGCAAGTTATTGACTCGCAAGAAACAAATTCAAGTTGTGAAGTAAAAAGCATACAGGATTCCTCATTAAGCTCTCAACTTCTGGATTCACAAGAATCTGTGATAAACTTATCACAGCTCATGGCAAGCCCGACCAATTTTGATTCTAGCATAGCTAAGACTCCTGACAGTAAGACTGGACTCGTTAAAGATACCGAATACGGTACCCCAGTTTTAAACATTGCTTCATCATATGTTAAACTGCCGTCAGACGATAAATTCGCTAAAAACATTTGTGACATCATTAATTTCGAGAACCTTCCAAACTCAACAGGAAAGTACAAAAAAATAAGTGCATTATTAAAAAAAGTTAAAAGTGAAGTTGATAGAATACAAGACTCATGATGCGAAAGGTTATCAGAAGAGTTAAGACAGTATCTTAAAAATTTCATAATACAAACGTTTATTGTATGTAAGGAATTGTTACTTGTACGTACGTAAGTACTAAGGTATTTTTATACAACTGTAGAGAATGACAAGTCTATTTTTACAGATTTTATTTATTCAATAATGTTACCTTAGTGCGGTTAGTGATTTTAACTACATCTATTAAGTTGAGTTATTTCACCAGTTAATCTAGTGAATGAGTGAAAACATTTTAAACTGTTAGTTTCTATGTTGTAAATACAAGAAGTTGAAAAGCATTGCAGTGTTTCAGATCATTGTAATTTTATTTAATATTTTACAGATCAAAAGTGTAAGTATTTTGCCTTCGTACTGTACTGCAATCATTGCTTTCTAACTACAATCGGTACAATTCTTACACTATTCTACAGGTCAACCTAGACGTGTACAATAGTAACCAAATATAACAGTTTATTTGGTTTAAACTAAAATTTATTTATTTATTTTATGAATTCAGTTTCCAGACTAAGTTAATTTAGCCATAGTTTTGTGTAGGGCTGCCTTTATGGCCGTTTTCTGAGACTTAGACCCGGCAATCTGCGGGTCTAGAGGATGTTGTACTAGCTTATTCAGATCCCCTTCACGGAACTGCATCAATAACATTATTAACGTAAAATTGACGAAAAAGTGCTTGAAAGCGGTAGGCAAAGAGCCTACTTTACAAGCCGTAAAACCCAAGTCGTTAAACATTTTTTGATGGTTATAAAAATGTGAATACCAGCTGAATATATAATGGAGTTCAACTGAGAACGCGAGTGACGCCGCAGGTTTACCAATAGATAATGTTTATAACCACTAGTTGCTTGTCGTCATCTGGAAAAGAAGGTAATGTATAAAAAGTTGCAACAAAATTAATAACCTACCTATTTTCCCCCCTATTCTGTAGCTACCTATTTTGTACAGAAAACAAGGGGTTAAAAAACTGGCGGCGATATAGCGTGGAAAAGCCACCTGTTGCGTAGTCGCGAAGTCAGTCGGTGCTTATTACAATGGATATGGGGAATTTTGATTACAATAGTATATATGCTTTTAAACAAAATGTTGATTGTATACCCTCCACATTTTTAGAGCCAAAAAATTCGCAACCTTATTTATTTTGAACAAATTATAGCATTTTTAGCGCGGTCACATTCTTCAGAAGCGAGTGCGACAGTATGGGCGTGTTGTACGTCCGTGTGTATCGTCCTCCACATTTTTAAAGAGGTAAAAATAATTTGCGAGGTTTATTTATTTTGTACAGATTATGATACTTTTTAGTGCGGTCACATACTTCAGAGGCGAGTGCGAGTGCACTGTACGAGCAGGATAAGCCGTCGATGGAAGTTGTATGTCAGTGTGCACTCGCTGAGTGGACATCACCGACGTTACACAGGTACGCGGTCTGGGTTGACCGTGCGTATTGGGAATGAGTTATACGTAGCCTTTTTCTATGTTAAATGATAGCCTAACACCATGAGGACAAATTTCTAGCTTTGTCATATCAAAAAGTTTATCCGATGGTGTTAGATTTAGTCGGGAGTCGAATTTTTCGGATGAGAGCCTTGTCAGTACAAATGGGCCGGTTCGACCGGAGTCATACCAGGGACTCACAGAAAACCGGTGTTAAATAATTCTTTCGTTGTTTTTCACCTTCCCTACTTACTACTGGGGGTAGTGGTGGGATGACAAGTTCACCCGATGGTGTTCGATCTAGATGGGAGTCGAACCCGAAATCTTAACGGGCGCATTATTCTGTTGTCTCTGCCATTTATGCTTGTAGCTCGAGATCTACTTATTTGGATTATTTAAACCAAGGACGCAATTTAATTTAATATGGCTTTTTATTTACACAAATGCACCTTTTAAAATGCCTTTTATATCTGTGTATATGTAGCTGTCTGTGATATTGGCACAGCTATGTTTAGCTTGTTCTAGCGAACTCGACTAACGTTTTGCACTGTAGTGTATTTATAGAAATATATAAGTATCAAGTCAATGCAGGTGTTACGGAAGGGTATTATAACGATTGCACATACTTGGTAGCGGGCACATACTTGTTTCTTAAAACATTTAACACCACTTACTAATTAATCTATTAGGTTCAGCCGCAGAATGTCCAATTGGCAATATTTCACCAACGTGGAAGTGGTAAAAAAACGTTTCACGGACGCCCCTTAATTACTAACTGGACCAATTGCGAATTGAACATAATGCGCCCAAACGTGAAGCACCAAAAGATATTGATGCTTCACGTAACAGTTTAGGGTTAAGTAAAAAAAAAACAAATTATATCTGTTATATTTATTTTTCCTGATAAATAGAATCTCTAACGTTTTGTAAATGAAACATAAACATATTGATAAAATGATAAATACTATTTTTCACAATGTTACCCAAACCAATTGAAATGAACTAAAACTAGTGGAATATGCGTTACATTGACCAGAAAAACAAAAACATAACAACAGTGTTCGAGAAAATATTCTCTATGTGTTCATCATATCGAGTATTTCATTTTTCTAATCATGCTTCATTAGAACTAAGTGTAACACAGAAAAAAAGTGCACATAAATAATAATAGTGTAGCAAATAGTTCATATTCGTGGAGGAAATTTGTCTTAGCACGTGTTTTAATCTCGATAAATAGGAAATCTCATTTCCTTAGACAGCTACGATAGATCGTTAAATTTATCATTTCTGTTGAGCTATTAATATTTGCATTATTCATAAAGTCTACGCTCGTTAAGCGACCGTAAACCCTGAGATGGCGATTACATAAACTAAAAACTCGGCAAACGCAGTTAACATTATGTATTGCAATTTTCGACTTTTCTAAGGCCCGATTTCAAAAAGGACGTTCAATAATTGTGTATTGTCTTTTTTAGTAGGCAAGTCACTTGATATTAATACTTTTCATTCAGATCTTTAGTTTAAAGTACGAGATTCAATTTTGCACTTATTGTGACGTTTCTGTGAACGCATATTTATTCTATATCACGGCAGATAACGCAATTGTTATCAATAATTACTTTAGTTTTAACTTACAAAATGTATTTATCCAAATTTAGATTTCGGAAAAACATAGCACCAAGGACGATAAATATGCATTATATAAAATGAAAACAAAAAGTTTCAAAGTAACGAATAAACTGATGATTAAAAATTGAAAGATATAAATCTTGATTCGAGAATAAGTTATTTTTAATACAATTTTCTTTAAAGTAAGGCAACAACACAAGTTTTAATCCAACCTTCTGTGTTTAAACTTATCGTTACTCGTAATTCACAAGATCTTACATTTCTAGTCGTGCTGGCGACGGCTGTTGTGTCCCCCCCGACATATTTTCTATAAGTATTTATAATACATTTACTGGAATTCATTGTTGGCTGACCTCTCGATGAAAAAAAAATGTAATTATATTCTCGGAGGCGTCGGAGGCGCACCGTCGTGGTCCTGCAAAAAAATACATAAATTATTAAAATTGTCAAGAACTTCAAAAGCAATTGGCTTTTGTTATTTATGGCGACACTACTTGTTAGTTCTTAAAAATAAGTCTTAATATCAGAACAAAAAATTTGAACCTTTTCATGATGTTGTCACATCCCAATATTTGATCCGCTTAAAATGTACGTAGACAAGGAGAATTAGCTTCCGATCCGAAAAAATTCTAATGGAGCGGATTTGTTTATAATTAAAGATTCAGGATCAGGAATTGATTGCAAAAAAAAATGTAACAAAATTGCATTGCAAATTGAAAAGTAAAGCTCCTTAAACAAGTTAAATGTGGTAAATGTGCGCTATAAAAAAACAAAGAGAATGAACCCCCGGAGAGCAAAATCGGATCATCAGATCGCCCGAAATTTGCAAATTTAACTACGTTTTTCTTGCAAACGGTTAAGTAAAAAAAATCTGATCTTGGCAAATTGATAACTCACGTTCGGGAAGTGGTAGAGAGCCAAAATTTGAATATGTTGTCAGTGTTGTAGTCCTGTAACTAGTACCTGTTCTTTATTGACTATTTAAATAAATGTATATTTGTCAAATGATCTGAAAATTTGGATATTTGTAGTTAAACTCCTCCTTAATACATAGGTGCCGAAATTAGAACGTCTTTCAAAAATTAAAATTCCCATCCAATTGCTTGAAAGAAGGTAACTTATTGCAAAAGTCGACGGTTTGCAAAAAGTTTACAACATTTTGACTAGAAAATTTAACTGTAGTTACAGGACTACAACAATGATAACCACCATCTAAATTTCAGCCCTCTACCACTTCCCGAACGCGAGTTATCATTTTTCCAAGTTTTGCAAGAAAAACGTAGTTAAATTTGCAAATTTCGGGCGATCTGATGGTCCGATTCTCTCTCTCCGGGGGTTCATTCTCTTTGTTTTTTATTGCGCACACTTATTAACTTTTTTCGTAGGAGCTTTAGTTTTCGCTCCAGACGCGGCAAATTGTTTTTACAACTTTTGACATTTTGTTACACCTTAGCTGACAATAATTTGTTATCATTTTTATTGCAATCAATAACTAACGTTTAACTTCTATTATACATTCTGAGATGGAACTAAATAATTAATTTAATAAGGAATGAAATCCTGTTCTGTTGATAGGGGGGGCCTCGATTAATGTTTCATAAAGAGAATATACTTTTAGAACATTTTGCATTCGTGCAATGAAAAGCTTTTCTTTCTAATAAAAAACTCAGGCGAATTATCTGACTGATAAAGGCATGTAGGTAATCGCCCTCAAAAATGTTCATACTTCAGTAGTAGGATTCAACACGAACTTGCGTTTCCTAAAGAGGCTATTTTAATAACGTGCATATTAAATTTAATAATATTGTTAACAGAATAAAGTCTTTTAAATAACGATAACAACATTAAACTAGCTTGCCAAAACTACATTTTGATTGTAGGACATATTATCTAATTATATAGCTATGAACATTGAATAACACATTAACCGATATACTAGTTTCATGGACGTTTATTGCATAATAGAATTTATTATTCTAGAAAAATATCAAGTCTAATGATTACAAACAGGTTTATTTATCATTCTTCTTAATTACTGCACTAATTAATATTATGTGAAAAACCATTATACTGGTTTCGGTAATATTTAACGTATACTCATTCACTTAAATGTGCGAGTATGTTCGTTAAATAGCTTATAGGGGTGATCTCAACACGGGACCCTCATGTCAGCTGACGCAGATGAAAGGATGCTTCGGAGATCACATGTTTCTGATTCTGTTACCACCTGTTTCTGATTGTGTGACCTGTTTCTGGCCTTCTTCTGCTACCAGACACGACGTGCAGTTTTTAGTTGATTTGAGTCCGACATAACCATTCCATCGGTCGTGCTAACCAAAGGGGATTACCGCATGATGTGTGGCAACCTAACCAAGTCTACAAAACTAAATTTTCGCAAAAGAGCCTCTTACTATGTATGACAACTCTGGGCAAATTAATTCTTTCAAATGATTTTAAAAACTTTTTATTGGAAAAACTATTTAAATGCTAGTGTTTCATCATACATGAAATGAATCAACACTGCATGGTAACTTTAATATAAGATTTTATCCTCGTAGTAAGGAAATAGAGTTACCCTCTTTAATAACAGAAAAATGACTCTTTGGAACAGACTTTTGGATTTTTCTGAGGGTCGTCTTGCTACCCTAAGAAAAATGAGCATCTTAGTATATGTAAACTCAAATCGGTGAGGTTCAAGGCCTCAGACACGTAACAGTATTTGCCGCGTTATAAAGTAAGCTTATTATCTATATAATTAAGTTTAATGAATAAAATTCAGTGCCCACAAGAGAACAACTAGCTAGCATAGGTTATTAAGCCATGTAATTATTTCATGAAACAAATTCTGTTCTAATAGGTTTTAAACGTAAAAAGCAATTAAATATACCTACATAAACTTATCATTAGATAGGTATCAGATGTTAGATGTCAGTTATCATTAGTTTTATTAACCTATCTAATATATTTAAAATTGTTCTAACAATTACTTTTATACCAGTCGTTTTCTTTAATAACGTCCATCAAATAAATGGGATCTCGTGGTGCAATTAATAAAAATAGTAAAAAGAATACAGACAATTTTTTTTTACTTTTTTCCTTTTCTATGTATAATATGTATGTATTTACAAAAAAAACCGGTCAGGTACGAGTCGAACTCGTGCCCCGAGGGTTCCGTACCTACCCAGATTTTACGTAGATTTTCGAGAAAATTTGTAAGTAGCAAAATTTATCTTAATTTTCAACTTTTTTTATTTTTTGGAATTATTTCTTTATTTGTGCTGTAAGAAGTTTCTTTTTGCCAAATTTCGTGATTCTAGGTCAACGGGAATTACCATATAGGTTTTCGACCCAAAACCTATAGGGTACTTCCGGTTGACCTAGAATTGTCAATTTTGGTTAAAAGCAAGGTCTTACAGCACAAGTAAAGAGAAAATTCTAAAAAATAAAAAAAAAGTTAAAAAAAGGTAAATTTTGGTACTTACAAGTTTTCGCGAAAATTGAAATTTTACCATATCTTTTTATCGTGTTGACTCAGGACCTTGATTTTTATATACCTGATAGGGACCATAGACCTTAGTATCTGGTATAAATTTCAACTTGCTACGTCTACCCGTTCTTTAGAAAATCGGTGGTGACACACGGACAGACGAACAGACAGACAAGAAAGTGATCTTATAAGGCTTCCTTTTTTACCTTTTGAGGTACGGAACCCTAAAAAAGTATATAAGTATTCTTTCAGTCAATCTAGTTTTCATAGTACATGCTCTGCTTACTTTGAAACTAGTTGGCGTTGTGTGTCAGATGTCCGACAAAACTAATAATATTTTAATGGGCTTAAATCGTGCTAAATTGTAATAAGCTCTACTTTTCGTCCCATATTTTAATTTATTCACAGACCAACTTAGAGAAGAAGTCAAGAGAACAGTCAAATAGCATATAATTGCGTGACATACATAAAAAAAAAACAGGCGAATAGAGAAACTTCTTTTGAAAGTCTGTCAAAAACACGAGGTCGTTGATAAATAGAAATTAACAAAGAACTGAAGATAATAATGGTCTAGTAGACATTACAGTCTTGTAGATTTCCTAGTAAATATTATCAGTGTGGTTACGAATTAAGAATACGGTAAAACAGTATTCATCCCGTGAGTGTCGTAAGAGCAGGACAAGAGCACTGCATTCAGAAGGAAAACTTGACACAAACCCTATACCAACCCGTCTCGCCAGCGTGGCATAGTAGGCCAAACCTTTCTAAGGAGAGGCCTATATCCAGTAGTAGACTATTAAAGGCCGTTGATGTGATGATGATAAGATATTACGAAACGCTATCTGAAATTAAACTAACCATAGTTACCACTGGATTCTGGGGCACGTCTAACACGATCACATAATGAATAAGTACTAACATGATAGCACATAGAAACATAGTAAGGACACGTGGTAACGACCATGTGGTGACGGATTAAGAATACAGAGTGTCACCACCCCTATTCATACCGTGGGTGTCGTAAGAGCCGACTAAGGGAAAAAAACTACGCAGAACAACAGCACTGCAGAGAGAAGGAAAACTTCTACTAACTAAGACACAAACCCTTTTTTTTTTTTTTTTTTTAACGTGTGGAAATCCCCTCGGACCGTCACCCCTCCGGGGTTTGCGGCGGGGTGGTGTGTCGGACTCGGACCGACTAAAACCACACGGTATGCCACTCTGCGCCTGTAACAGGAGGGATCCGGGAACAGCTGTTGTTAAGACATCCGGACCCCTCCTAGCGCCAGCCCGCTCCTGGTGCGGGCTCCGTCTCAGTGTTTTTCCTCTCTTTAGGCGACGTCCGGCACACGCGGACGCCGCCCCCTCGCGGCTGGCCAAACTAATGCGGGTGGAGGGGAAACCCACCCCGTCCATTCGCGGCCACACTCAGGGCGGCATGAGGCTGTGATGGGCGGGCCTCCGCCGCCCGGTTCGCCGGCGGCGGATCGGGTCCGAGTGGAGGTTGTCCTCCCGGGCCCTCTCCGCCGCCTCCTTCCGCGAGATTACTACCTCGCAGAAGGTTGCGACCGCGGTAAAACAACTGTCGCTACCGGCCATGGAGCGTACTACGGCCGGTAGCGAGAGATCCACTCCGATGACTGCAGTGAGGGCCCGGCGCTGCGCCGCCCATGCGGGGCAGACCGCCAGCGTGTGCTGGGCCGAGTCCTCACTGCAGTCGCAGTGGTGGCAGGCGGGACTCAGTTCCCTCCTAGCGACCGTGTGCAGGTACTTTCCGAAGCAACCGTGCCCGGAAAGCACCTGCGTCAGCCGGAAGGAAAGGGTCCCGTGCTGCCGCCCTGCCCACTCGGCGATGACCGGCTGGAGAGCCTCCACGGCGGCGAAGCCAGCGCGTGGAGTCTCCAGCCGGAACGACCAACGAGCCATCG